TAATCCATCAAATTAATGTTATAACTGTTGTAGATGCTTCACTTGGAGGAGAGTTGATGTTGTTGCCCAACTCGTCTAAACCGAAATATTTGAAGTTGTTGAAGTAGAATGTCTGCTCCGAAGCAAAGATGAAGATAATGACTCCTGGAGTTGACTCGTGGGTTGATGAATTGATTTCTTCAGCTTGACATAAAATTTGTCAAATTTTGAGCCTTGTATTTGTGTAGCCCCCGACTCTTTGGTTAGTTGGGAAACAACTGAACATAGAGTCGAGAATTATAGCTTCTTGTCGTCGAGTAGTCATTGCTTGATTGAAGATATGCGTTGAAGGTGTCCAAGTAGAAATCCTGAATATTGGAGAGTCACTTGTTGTAGTAAAATATCATGGCATTGCATGCCGAGATGTCGAGGTTCACAAAGACGTCGTGGTTGGTGAAGTAGTAAAACTTGCGGAGTAGCAGCAATAGAGTTTGCCAGTGCCGAAGATAATAAAGATGAAGTCGCTCCACCATGATGACAAAGTTGCATCGCCGTGATGAAGTGAACACGAGTCGGCGGCAACAGAAGCAAACTGGTAGCGAAGACGCGCAGTTGTGAAGATAAAAGCACTAGTCGGCGGCGGCATAACCAGTCGGCAACGGAAGACGATGATGTCCATCAGTAGTGGTAGCTGTATAAACCAGACGTAGAGGTGAGGGCACTAGTCAGCAGCAGACGAGACGACCGGCGGTGAAGAAGATAAGGCCAATCAACACTGGCAGAATCATGCAGCCATGGAAGTGAAGAAACCAGTCGGCAGCCATGGCAAACGTAGGCAGCTTGTGTTGAAGATACTGATGCCTATTAGTAGTGACAGCGATGTAGCCAGCCGTGAAGAAGGTAGCATCAGTTGGCGTTATAACAGGCCAGCCGTGCAGGCAGTGACACCAGTCAGCGGCGGATGCGGCGGCCGGTCGGTGAAGACGTAGACGCCCAACAACGGCAGCATAATAGGCCAGCCGTGCAGGCGGAAACACCAGTCGGCGGCAGCGAAGGCAAGCCGGTCGGTGAAGACGTAGGCGCCCAACAACGGCGGCATAATAGGCCAGCCGTGCAGGCGAGGACACCAGTCGGCGGCGGCGAAGGCGAGCCGGTCGGTGAAGACGTAGGCGCCCAACAACGGCGGCATAATAGGCCAGCCGTGCAGGCGAGGACACCAGTCGGCGGCGACGAAGGCGAGCCGGTCGGTGAAGACGTAGGCGCCCAACAACGGCGGCATAATAGGCCAGCCGTGCAGGCGAGGACACCAGTCGGCGGCGACGAAGGCGAGCCGGTCGGTGAAGACGTAGGCGCCCAACAACGGCGGCATAATAGGCCAGCCGTGCAGGCGAGGACACCAGTCGGCGGCGACGAAGGCGAGCCGGTCGGTGAAGACGTAGGCGCCCAACAACGGCGGCATAATAGGCCAGCCGTGCAGGCGAGGACCCCAGTCGGCGGCGACGAAGGCGAGCCGGTCGGTGAAGACGTAGACGCCCAACAACGGCGGCATAAAGGCCAGCCGTGCAGGCGGAAACACCAGTCGGCGGCGGCGAAGGCAAGCCGGTCGGTGAAGACGTAGGCGCCCAACAACGGCGGCATAATAGGCCAGCCGTGCAGGCGAGGACACCAGTCGGCGGCAGCGAAGGCAAGCCGGTCGGTGAAGACGTAGACGCCCAACAACGGCGGCATAAAGGCCAGCCGTGCAGGCGAGGACACCAGTCGGCGGCGACGAAGGCAAGCCGGTCGGTGAAGACGTAGGCGCCCAACAACGGCGGCATAATAGGCCAGCCGTGCAGGCGGAAACACCAGTCGGCGGCGGCCGAGGCGAGCCGGTGGTGATGTTCTGACTGATCCATTCCTGGAGCGTAAGAGATAAGCCTAAAGCCATGAATCCCTTTTATGCATATCTGGATTTGGATCCTGCAGAGCAAACATATAGGATGAGTAGTATCTGATATAAATATAATACTCGAGAAAAAATCAAGTATTTTAAAATATTTATAAACATGTATTTCTCCTCTTGTCAATTTTGATTTCCCCGAGTAGATGACTCATTACGTTTAAACACTCTGCCCGACTAGTCATAGCCACCAAGCACTGGGAGTCGGCCTAAGCACTTCCCAAACATGCATATGAGTGACATGAGTTCGTCATTAATGGAACAAAGTTTCACGGATCGGAGTTTACTACTCGGGTACTTTTGCAATTATTAAGAGCAGAAAATAAATTTATCTCATCTCTATGCTTTTGATTTATTCCGAATAATACTTAGCACCTTGCGTTACTCGGTCCATCCAACGAGCCCCCGGGTGCTAGGAATCGGCCCAAAGGCAACCATCCATTGGCAAACCAAGCGGAAAGCATAGGAAGATAGAACTCCATAACTCGATAGGTACTTTTGTACTCAGATTATGTCGCAAGCAATCAAGATAAATATTATGAAAATTGTTTAAAAAATACGATATAACATCTATAGCCCCCGACTCACTAGTCAACGGCGAACCAGTTGATGTAGTGAGGCAAAGGAAAAGACAAAATATCATATAGAGAATAAAATAAATGATGACTTAGCTTTGTAATATTCCCCTTGGTGATGGCAGAAGTGGCCAATGTGGGAACAAAGTCGTCCATCAATGACAATGAAGACACCAGTCGGCGGCGACGAAGGCGGTCGACGGTGAAAGCGAAGATGCCCACTAACGGCGGCATAATAGGCCAGCCGTGTAAGCGGAAACACCAGTCGACGGCAACGAAGGTGAGCCAACGGTGAAGATGTGGACGCCCAACAGCGGCGGCATAATAGGCCAGCCGTGTAGGCGGAGGCACCACTCGGCGGCGACGGAGGCAGGCCGGCGGTGAAGTCGTAGACGCTCAACAGCGGCGGCATAATAGGCCAGCCATGTAGGCGGAGGCACCACTCGGCGGCGACGGAGGCAGGCCGGCGGTGAAGTCGTAGACGCCCAACAGCGGCGGCATAATAGGCCAGCCGTGTAGGCGGAGGCATGGACGCCCATGAACGGTGGTGTGACCAACCAACCGTATAGGCGAGGACACCAGTCGGCGGCGACGGAGGCAGGCCGGCGGTGAAGTCGTAGACGCCCAACAGCGGCGGCATAATAGGCCAGCCGTGTAGGCGGAGGCACCACTCGGCGGCGACGGAGGCAGGCCGGCGGTGAAGTCGTAGACGCCCAACAGCGGCGGCATAATAGGCCAGCCGTGTAGGCGGAGGCACCACTCGGCGGCGACGGAGGCAGGCCGGCGGTGAAGTCGTAGACGCCCAACAGCGGCGGCATAATAGGCCAGCCGTGTAGGCGGAGGCACCAATCGGCGGCGACGGAGGCAGGCCGGTGGTGAAGTCGTAGACGCCCAACAGCGGCGGCATAATAGGCCAGCCGTGTAGGCGGAGGCACCACTCGGCGGCGACGGAGGCAGGCCGGCGGTGAAGTCGTAGACGCCCAACAGCGGCGGCATAATAGGCCAGCCGTGTAGGCGGAGGCACCACTCGGCGGCGACGGAGGCAGGCCGGCGGTGAAGTCGTAGACGCCCAACAGCGGCGGCATAATAGGCCAGCCGTGTAGGCGGAGGCACCACTCGGCGGCGACGGAGGCAGGCCGGCGGTGAAGTCGTAGACGCCCAACAGCGGCGGCATAATAGGCCAGCCGTGTAGGCGGAGGCACCACTCGGCGGCGACGGAGGCAGGCCGGCGGTGAAGTCGTAGACGCCCAACAGCGGCGGCATAATAGGCCAGCCGTGTAGGCGGAGGCACCAGTCGGCGGCGACGGAGGCAGGCCGGCGGTGAAGTCGTTGTTGTTATCAGCAATGGCGGTGGCGAAGACAAGCCGGCGGCCGATCGACCGGAAAGCTGAGACGCCTCGAGTCTATGACCAGCATCAATCGCCTCAATAGTGCCGCATAATTATATACGAACAACAACAAAAAATAGCAAGAGATTAATCTGAGATTAAAAATCAATATGATAAATAATGATAAAAATCAGATTGAGTTTCCCCCTGACTGATTTGGATCAAGTCAGAGAAGAAGAGCTTGAAGAAGTGGTCGACGGAAAGGAAGTGAAAACTCCCGAAGCGAAAACGAAATCGGCGACCCATGAAATTGATTCCATCGCGCTCGTTGATAGGAAACTCGACGCAACCCCTACCTGGCGCGCCAACTGTCGAAACTAGATTTCGGCAATAATCAAAGGGGGTAGCGCACGAGACCTAAAAGTGGATGGATGCGGAGACAAAGGATTTAGACAGGTTCAGGCCCTCTCAATGAGAGGTAATACCCTACTCCTGTTTGGGGATTTGAATCCGCCGGGTGTGTATTGATCTGACGATCAGGTTGTCTCATGCCCCCTAGAGGGCCTCCTGCCCACCTTATATAGGGTGGGGGGCAGGATTACAAGATAGAAACCTTAACCAATACGGTATCGGTTTCCTAAATCTACTTTACAATATTATCAAACCAGGACTTTAGGCCGTTCCGTAACATACAAGGAAACGTAATACCCAAGTCATGATCTGTTACATATTACATATATATAAGTTATCCCCTATAACTAGTCGGATAACCATGCCGTGTGGGTATGGGGTACCCATAATCTCCACAAGCGGGGAAAGGATGGTGGTGATGGCTGTTGAGAAACAATGAATATGCGATGAGGCGTACCGCCTTTTCAGCTTTTCAATGATTGCTACAAGAAAATGGACGTTGACACGTGTGCTATATGAAGGTTGACAATGCACACTGTCACGGCATCGTCATCGTCATCTCCTGTTCCTCATCAGACAAGCGATGTAGCTTCTCCGTCGGACCAAGATGGGCTCAGAAAGTCGCATCGTGAACGACGGCCCAATCCGGCCTATCACGGGAGTGAGTGGACCCAGTAGTGACTGGCTGGGCCACATGTAAGGGAGAGAGATCCAATGGCTCATTGCTATATAAGGATCGGCAGAGAAGAGATGTGATTTGAACAATGTAAAAACAGAATTCCCCATCTAAATCAATCCTTCTCTGTTCTATCTCTGCTTCTCTGAGTTCTTCCTTCTTCCTTCCAATTTCTTCCAAAATCCTCACGAATCCTCCATTGTTGCGGTACAAAGCTAGGGTGTCGTGACAAATTGATATCAGAGCAGTTAATCCTGGAGAAGCCACGCTATACCTCTCGTTTGCAGCTTCAGGTGGAGGCTATGGAGAAGCAAAATATTGATTTCGGCAAGGTGCTGGGTGAGATCCAGGAGTCCTTGGTGTTGCTGAATCGAGCTCAAGTGGATACGCAGGCCTCCATCGTCAAGCTGGATCAAGGCGTGAGTGCTTGGAGACCACAAGTGGAGGCGGCTGTGCAGGATCTGCGTGACGAAGTTGGTGACCTTCGTCAGCAGGTGGATCTTCTGAACAAGGCGAAACAAGCTCCACCGGCGGCGTCTTCCCCTTGGGTCCTGTTGACGGGCAAGGAAAGGAAGGCCCCGTTGCTGCCTACGCCGACGGCTACCTCACCAGCAGCTGTGGCGGAGGGTGCAGAGAAATGGGCCAACGGCCACCGTCTTCATCAAAATTTCTGGGGAAAGGCATCGGGTGTAGTTACTACCCTGATCCATTCTCCGGGCAAGGGTACGTCTGATTCCAACCGAATTCCCTTTCGATCCTTGGAGAATTTCGATTTGGATGGGGGGGCGAGTGATTTTGACCAGGGAAATCGGCAGTACAATCATAGAGTTCCTAAACTTGATTTCCCTAAGTTTGATGGATCAGACCCGCAGGATTGGCTTATGAGATGTGAGCATTACTTTGATGTGAACAACACTTATCCAGGGTTATGGGTGCGGGTTTCAACTATCTATTTCATTGGTAGAGCAGCTTCCTGGCTTAGGTCTTCTAGGGCTCATGTTCGTTTCCCTATTTGGGAGGATTTCTGTGTGGCAGTAGCTAACAAATTTGATAGGGATCAACATGATGAATTGATTAGACAAATGGATACAATTAGGCAGACAGGGACTGTGTGGGAGTTTTATGAGAAATTTGATGAGTTGATGAATCACCTGTTAGCTTATGACCCAGCAGTGAGTATGAGATATCTTATCCATAGGTTTACTGAGGGTTTAAGACGGGATATTCGTAATGCTGTCCTCCTGCAACGACCTCGAGACCTCGAAACTGCTCTTGCTATTGCTACTTTATAGGAAGAAGTGGCGGAATCGTCGGGTGGACATTCAACTCGTGAATTGAAGAAATTTGATGGCCAAGTGAATAATAGATCTTCTCTGAAAGGGGCTTGGCCATTACCTCAACCTCCTGGACGAGTAGTTGGGGGTAATCGCACTGAAGATCGTCTGGGTACTGAACCACATCGCTCGACCTCTTCTTCGTCAGACAAAATTTCAGCTCTCAAGGCACAACGGCGTGCACAAGGACTTTGTTATATCTGTGCTGAAAAATGGTCTCCTACACATAAATGCTCTACTTCAGTGCAACTGCATGCAGTTCAAGTGCTTTTCAGTATTTTACATGAAACTGACAGTACTCTTGATGATGAGCCAGCAGTTTCTCCCACTGGTACATTGATGGCAATATCTCTTCAAGCAGTATTGGGTTCAGAAACTGATGGCACCATGTGAATGGTAGGTCAGATTCAAGGGCTGGAGATTCTCATCTTGGTAGATTCGGGCAGTTCTGTGAGTTTTCTGAATTCTACCATTGCTGACAATCTAAAGAATGTTCAGAGAAAACCTCAACAAATTTCGGTTCAAGTGGCTAATGGAAATATCTTGCATTGTACTTCTGCCATTACTAATTGTCAATGGAGCACTCAGGGGTATGTGTTTAATACAACTCTCAGGGTTCTTTCTCTTAACAGTTATGACTTGATTTTGGGCATGGACTGGTTGACAGAGCATAGTCCCATGACAGTGAACTGGGCCACCAAACAGCTTACTGTCTCACTGAAAGGACAATTTATTCTGTTACAAGGAATTAATTCCCAGGTTTCTCAGTGTAACTTACTGCTTGGCCATCAAATGAAACAGCTGCAAGCTAGACAGGCAGTGGCTCATCTTGTTCAGTTATGTGTCTCTCATAGTAATATAGAGCAGGAGTTTATTCCAGACAGTGTGCAGCAAGTGCTTCAGGAATTCTCTGGTATCTTTGATGAACCATCTGGTTTACCTCCTTCCCGATCATTTGATCACACTATTCCTCTGCTGCCTGGGGCTCAACCTGTTAGTGTGCGACCCTATCGTTACACCCCTGCCCAAAAGGATGAGATAGAATCAGAGGTTACTGAGATGTTGGATAAGGGAATAATTCAGCCTAGCGCAAGCCCATTCTCTTCTCCAGTGCTGTTAGTTAAGAAAAAAGATGGCACGTGGCGGTTTTGTGTGGACTACCGTCATTTGAATGCAATTACTGTCAAGAATAAGTATCCCCTCCCTATTATCGATGAATTGCTTGATGAGTTATCGGGTGCACAGTGGTTTACCAAGCTTGATCTTCGATCGGGTTATCATCAAATACGAATGAATTCTGCCGATGAGCATAAGACTGCTTTCCGTACTCACCATGGTCACTTTGAATTCAAAGTGATTCCCTTTGGTCTTACTAGTGCTCCAGCCACCTTTCAAGGGGTGATGAATAGCATTTTGTCCTCGCTCTTGCGGCGCTGCGTCTTGGTTTTCATCGACAATATTCTGATCTATAGCCGCTCGTTGGAGGAACATGTTAAGCATTTGAGGGCTGTTTTTCAGATTCTCGCTCGGCATCAGCTCAAAGTCAAGAAGAGTAAATGCTCATTTGCACAACAGCGGTTATCGTATCTGGGTCATGTCATTAGTCCAAATGGAGTGGCCACGGATGAGGAGAAAATTCAGGCTGTGCAAATGTGGCCCACACCTACCTCTATGTCACGCCCAGAAATTCCCGAATAGAATTCCAAGCAGAATGTGCATTAAAATCCCCGTCCAGGACCGGCCGGGGTACACAAACGACAATGTTGACATTTAGATCTACGTCTTACAAACATCATAAAAGACTTACATAAATGCAGCGGAAAAAGGAAGACAACAGGAGCTAAGCCTTGACTAGAACTGTAGCGGGAACACCACTCCACAGGCACCCTCGATGGCACGGACGAAGCCTACTCCTCGGAGAAACCTCCATCTGACACATACCCGAACTCTGGGGTTGGGAAAAAAAAAGAGCAAGACTGAGTACTACCCACTGTACTCAGCAAGTCATACCGGAATAGGGGTATGATGCAGGGAATTATCAAAGGAGAGCTAGAGTGGTTCAGTTGCATAAAGCGAGCATTTATAAACAGAAGTTGAAAGATTTAAACAGTTGTAATAATTAATTATTATTAACTATCCACTGTCCAACGCTATCCCACGTTGCGACAGGCCCAACCATCCACCTAAACTATCCAAATTCAAAAGATTACACTAGGGTGAGACTAATCACGGTGAATCTGGTTGACCGCCCATAACCGCGGGCACGGCTACTCGAATAGTTTTACTCTGATCAGAGGTGTACAACTGTACCCACAAGACACAGCCCCACGACACGTTTTCGTGCGCCGACATGCCACCACGACATACCGGAAAGAGGCCGTGACAGGACCCTTCGCATAACCCCCTCTAACCAAGCACACCACACCTCAGGTTTCACCCCCACTCCTCGCAAGGCAGCGGGCAGTCCCCTCTCGTGCCTAGGTGAATCCGGAAGCCGCATAGGCCGTCGCAGGGCCCATCCAAACTCCATCACGCCCACCCTTGCCTGGATGCGTCGGCTAGAGGAAAGCTACACTACAAGCCGAGCCGTTGCCCACGCTGGCTTGTGGTAAGTACGATAAGTTCTTCCAGGGCATCCCGCGAACCGGTCCTTAACTGCCATGGGTGCGACCAGCAAAACCATGCACCCACAGCCCACTATGTGATTTATTTTAATTAACCAACACCAAAGCGGTGGCACTAATCCAACAGTACCATTAGAACCAACAGTCTAAACATTAATAGGATTCTCCCCATTGTGCACTAGTTGAACTAAGCATGGCTAAGCAATCCCTAGTCCAATCTCTAGTCATGTTATAACCCCAAGCTGACAAAGGGACATGGTACAACAATAGCATGGCTATGACAATAGGTAAACACCCCATAGTAACATTATAAAACAATGCAATTTTTGAAGGAAAACAATAGAGCATTTGCAATATAGGATCAACATGTTCAAGTGACAAGCATGACTTGCCTTGCTCTGCTGCTGGAGGAACCTCGGCGACTATTTCCAAGTACACCGGAGCGTCGGAAGAACCGGAATCTAGCGACATACAAGGCAAACATTGCAAACAGGCTATAAGACTACTGAAACAGAGAACAAAACCATTTTTAATGGATTCTACACATTTTTCTTGATTTACTGAGACTTGAATGGGCTTAAACGGAGCTCGGATGAATTAGATATGAATTTTAGAAGATTCACTGTGTTTATTACTATAACAAAAAGTCCTTAAATCATTTATTGCGCAATAAATCCTAGGGCTGGCGTCAGCACGGGGGGAGGAGGCGCGGCGCCGACATGCGGGGCCCACCGGTCAGCGGCTCGGGAGAGGGAGGAAAGGGGCGCCGGCGAGCGGGCCCACTCGGCAGCGACTCAAGGGGGGGGGACGGTTCACTGTGGACCGGGACCACGCGGGTGGTCCACCGCCGGTCCACAGGACCGACGGCCCAGATCGCCCCCGGGGTTGATCGGACGGGCGGCAGCGACCCGGCTCGGCTTGGCTCAAGGCCGGCCCGCCGGCCACGGCGATGGCGACGGCGCGCGCGTGCGAACGCGTTGCCGGCGACGGCAACCGGCGGCGGAGGCGACGGCGCAAAGGCGACGCGAAGGCGGCGGCGCTAAGCGGCGGCTAGGAAGGAGAGGGAGGGGAATAGATGGGAGAGGAAGCCTCACCGAGGGTGGCCGGCGCGGAGGAAGATGACGGCGAACGGCGACGGCAAGCCACGGGAGGACGACGGCAACCGGCGGACGGGCTTCGGGGTGCCCGGAGCGCGAGGGAATGCGAATTCCGGCGACGAAACTTAACGGGGAAGGGGCGGCCGGGGTGGAGCTTAGCCTCGCGAACCCGATGGCGGTGACGGCGCGGTGCGGCGGCGAGCCTAGCGGCGGCTAGCGGCGGCCGGAGTGACGGGAAAGGCGGCGGCGGGTGGATGCACGGTGCGGGAGTGATGGAGAGCTCGGGAGAGTTCGGCGAAATGGGAAAAAAGAGAGAGGGGGTGGCGTCGGAGCTTAAATAGGGAGAGAGAGGGCCGGACGTGGCCGGGAGAGGCGGGAATCGCCGGCCAACGTGGGGAAGTGGGGGAGGAGAGAGAGGCGGGATTCGAAAATCGAATCCCGGCCATCTCGGGCGCGGGCGCGGGCGGGAGAGAGAGGGGAGTGGGCGCGAGGGACGCGGCGCACGCGCGGGCGTGGCCGACGTGGCCCGGAGGAGGCGGAGGCATGGGCGCGGCGGCGGTTGCGGGCGCGGCGGCGCGGCGCGAGGTGGGAGACGGGTCCGACAGGTGGGCCCCACCTGTCGGTGACCCCGGGAGAGAGGAGGGGGCGCGGGCTGAGCTAGGGCGTGGCCTCCGGCCGGCCCAGCAAGGCGCGAGGAGAGAGGAGGGGAAGTGGGCCGGCGGCCCACTAAGGGAAAAGGAAAAAGAAAAAAAAAAGAAAAAGGAAGAAAGGAATTTCCAGGGATTTAAATATTGCTTGTGCTCAATTTTAATTGGTCAAAATTATTTCTAGGGCTCTGAAAATTCCACTAAAAATCCTGTTAGTGAATTTCGACATGTAGAACTCAAGAAAAATTCCACATGTCAGATTCGATTATTATTTGTATTACTTCCTTAGGGTTTTCTCTTGATTTGCACCGGCATTTTCTTAGGGTCATTTATAAATTAAATTTTAGGCTTGGGAGGAAAACTTCGGGGTGTGACAAACCTACCCCCCTTAAACGGAATCTCGGTCCCGAGATTCGGAGGAGCTGGCGAAGAGGTGCGGATGGGCGGCTTTCAACTCATCTTCCCTTTCCCAGGTTGCTTCCTCCTCTGAATGGTGACTCCACTGAACTCGGCAAAACCTGGTGACCTTGTTTCTGGTTCTTCTTTCGCTGGTATCAAGTATACGAACCGGCTTCTCCACATATGTCAGGTCCTCCTGGATATCAATATGCTCCGAATCAGCTTGTTCTTCGGGTACTCTTAAGCACTTCTTTAATTGGGACACGTGGAACACGTCATGGATGCCGATCATATTGGATGGAAGTTCTAGCTGATAAGCAACTTCCCCCCTTCGTTCCAAGATTTTGTATGGTCCCACGAAGCGTGGTGCCAACTTGCCTTTCGTCTGAAAACGGTGTACTCCCCGGAGCGGAGTGACACGAAGATACACGTAATCTCCTGCCTCAAAAGTGAGCTCCCTTCGGCGGTTATCCGCGTAGCTCTTCTGTCGAGACTGGGCAATCCTCAACCTTTCCCTGATGGTTCTGACTTTCTCTTCTGCTTCCGCTAATACCTCTGTCCCGAACAGTTGACGCTCACCTGTCTGATCCTAGAAGAGAGGGGTGCGGCACTTCCGGCCGTATAAAGCTTCAAACGGTGCCATCTGTAGACTGGCTTGGTAGCTGTTGTTGTACGAGAATTCCGCATATGGCAAGTTTTTGTCCCAAGCTCCACCAAAATCAAGAGTGCAAGCTCTCAACATATCTTCCAAGATTTGATTGACTCGCTCGGTCTGACCATCAGTTTGTGGGTGATAGGCCGTGCTGAAATTTAATCGGGTCCCCAATTCTTCCTGCAGTTTCTACCAGAATTTTGAGGTGAACTGACTCCCTCGGTCAGATACAATCTTTTTGGGTACTCCATGTAGACACATGATTCTCGAGAGGTAGAGCTCCGCCAACCTTTTGCCCGTATACGTGGTATGTACTGGTATGAAGTGAGCAACCTTAGTGAGTCGATCCACGACTACCCAGATTGAATCGTGACCCGATGATGTCCGGGGCAGACCTGTTATAAAGTCCATTCTGATCTCCTCCCATTTCCATTCCGGGATTTGAAGAGGTTGGAGTAAACCTGCTGGTCTTTGGTGCTCTGCCTTCACTCGTTGGCAAACATCGTAGAGTGCGACGAATTCAGCTATTTCTCTCCTCATGCTGACCCACCAAAACTTTTCTTTGAGGTCTTGATACATTTTGGTGCTGCCTGGATGAATGGAGTACTGGGTCTGATGAGCCTCGGTGAGTATCAGATTCTTCAGTTCCTTGTCGTCAGGTACACACAATCTTTCTCCCAACCAGATTGTGCCGTGTTCATCCTCAAGGAAATCCCGAGCCTTTCCGACTCTCATGTTCTTTTTCAGCTCTGCTATTTCGGGATCATTCACTTGAGCGGCTCTAACTTGATCGACGAGCGTAGGCCGTGCTTCCAGAGCGGCTACGAACCCGTGTTCAACAATTCCCACGTTGAGACGCTCCAACTCCTGCTACAATTTCTCACACATGCCCTCGATGCATAGGGCAGTGCAGTAACTTTTCCTGCTTAATGCGTCTGCCACCACATTGGCTTTGCCCGGGTGGTAGTGAATGCTCATGTCATAGTCTTTGATTAGTTCCAACCATCTTCGTTGTCGCAGATTTAGGTCCGGTTGGGTGAAGATGTATTTCAGACTCTTATGGTCCGTATATACTTCGCAGCGGTTGCCAATCAGATAGTGCCTCCAGATCTTCAAAGCATGAACCACTGCTGCCAATTCCAGGTCATGAGTTGGATAATTCCCTTCGTGTGGACGCAACTGCCACGAGGCATACGCGACCACTCTGCCCTGTTGCATTAGGACACATCCAAGTCCGTGACGGGATGCATCGCAATAGACTTGGAAGTCTTTCATCTGGTCGGGCAGAATCAAAACTGGTGCGGATACTAATTTCTTCTTGAGCTCCTCAAAACTCTTATCGCACTCAGCTGTCCATTTAAACTTCTCATCTTTCTTAAGCAACTGAGTCATGGGACGGGCGATCCTGGAGAAGTTTTCAATGAATCGGCGGTAATAACCCGCAAGTACAAGAAAACTCCGAATCTGCGACACGGTCTTAGGTGGGGTCCATTTGATAACTGACTCCACGTTCGATGGATCAACTGCCACACCCTGAGCTGTAATGACATGGCCCAGAAATTTGACTTCCGTCAACCAGAAGTCACACTTGCTGAACTTGGCGTATAGCTGGTGCTCCTTCAACTTCTCGAGTACCAGACGGAGATGTTGCTCATGTTCTTCTTCGGACTTTGAATAGATAAGTATGTCGTCGATGAATACCACAACAAACTTGTCCAGAAATTCCATGAACACTTTGTTCATCAGATTCATGAAGAATGCGGGTGCGTTGGTAAGTCCGAAAGATATAACCGTGCACTCATATAGCCCATACCGAGTGGTGAAGGCCGTCTTTGGAATATCCTCTTCCCGAATTCTCAACTGGTGGTAGCCTGATCGCAGGTCTATCTTAGAAAACACTTTAGCTCCTTTCAGTTGATCAAACAAATCATCGATTCGCGGCAAGGGATATTTGTTCTTGATTGTGACCTCGTTGAGTGCGCGATAATCAACGCACATCCTCTTCGTCTTATCCTTTTTCTCCACAAAAATGACCGGAGCACCCCAAGGTGAAGTACTTGGTCGAATGTACCCTTTCTGCAGCTGCTCATCAACCTGCTTCTTGACCTTTGCTAGTTCGTTGGCCGCCATTCTGTACGGTCTCTTGTAAATTGGAGCGGTTCCCGGTGCCAAGTCAATCCGGAATTCAATCTCTCTCTTGGGTGGCATGGTAGTGAGGTCTTCGGGGAACACTTCTGGATACTCGCAGACTATGGGTATATCTTCCAATTTCCTCAAATTCTTCTCCACGGTGTCCACTGGGATTTCCGCCTCAATCTGATTCAAGGAGACCCCTTGCTTTGGTGAGACTAGTGATTTGTACACCACGGTTTCTCCCTTCTCGTTGGTCAAGGTGACTGTGCGATTCGCACAATCGATGACTCCCTTAAACTTGGTCAGCCAATCCATCCCAAGAATGACATCTAGGTCTTTAGATTCGAGAAGAATGAGGTTGGCTAGAAATGGTGATCTTTGGATTTCTATTAGCACTGAAGGGCTAAAACTGACTGAGGTTGAACTATTTCCCGGGGTATGAACCCTCATTGGTGTGCTAAGCTCTTCTTTCCTTAACCCATGCATCCCCACAAATTTCTTTGAAATGAAAGAATGCGTTGCACCAGAATCAAAAAGTACTGTTGCAGGGATTGAGTTAACAGGGAACGTACCCAGTACGACCTCTGGTGCTGCTTGCGCCTCCTCTACAGACGCGTGGTTGACACGAGCCTGGACAAACCTTGGCCCGGCACACCTGGGCTTCGGGCATTTGTCGGCGAAATGGCCAAGCTCGCCACAGTTGAAGCAGGACCCTGGTTTCGTTCCAGTCTCCTTCTTGGCTTGCGCGGACGGGCCTGACTGTGCTGGTGCCACTGGTGGGCGTGGAGCTGCACCGCGGTTGGGCTGACCTCCATGGTGGTTCTGACTGCCACTGGCGCCCTGGGGAAAGTTGCTAGGGTTGAACGGGCGGTACTGGCGGACGATCATGGTGGTAGGTCCACCCTGCTGCCCGGGAGTGAAGCGCGGCCTCTGGTGACTTCCCTGATGTGCCCTCACTTGGGCTAGCGTCGGATTCTCGGGAAGTGGTGGCGGACCATTGCCGGAATTGCTATTGGGATGCACACCATCAGTGCGCTCTTCGCCGTTGCTGCCCTCGCCTGTTGCGCGACTACCATTCCTGGTGTAGACCATCTGGAGGAAGAGCATACGGGGGAAAAGAAGGAAAACAGATGCTCAGGAACTGAGCTTTATTATATAGGAATTTAAACTGCAATTATTCTGATCTGAATTAAAACACTTAAAAAGCAAGCAAAAAAATCCTTATTAAGACAGCCATATCATAGGCACATGATATCGACCGTCGACTGACCCACAAGCAAGCAACCTAAACACACAAACTAACAAACAAATGCTAGACAGTCGATAAACTAATGGAAAATGAGCCTAATGCTCGGAACGGCTCCTGCGGTCGGTGGAGTCGAAGGCGTCCTCCTGCTCATCACCAGGTCCCTCTGAGTGACTCCTGGAGCCTGGCAGATAAGTCTCGCCGCTGCCCGGCTCTGAGCCACTGGAGCTACTGCTGCTGAGATCGCGGCTGCCACTGGGAGTAGCAGACAACCAACCTCCATTGCCACTGGCTGAACCCCTGGCGGCTGATGCTGGAGCGAAGGAGAGAGCGGACGCGGGAGCTGACACGAGAACGGGAGCTGGAGCTGGTGCTGGAGCTGCAGGAACTACCGGAGCTGCGGGCGGAACTGGAGGTGCTGCGGGAGCTGCTGATGGAGGTGGGTTCCTGGGCGCAAGCTGGATGCGCACGGGTGCAGTCGTCGTCTTGCGGGGCGTAGTGCGGATCCGGACTCCTCCTGGCGCGGGAAGACCCTTTAACTGAGCATTCTCCCTCTTCAGGCGCGCTATCTCGTCCTTCAGAGCGACGATCCTCATGAGCTTCCCATCATTCAAGGCCTTGAACGCCTTGTGCAGGTCCGAGTGCATCCTATCCAATCCCCTCATCACAGCACACATGTGACCAAAGGTAGTGTCGTTCTCGCCGGCTGTCGGACGGAAAGTACTGACATCATCACCGCTGGCTCGACGAGGGTGAAATCGGTACGCCGTGTCGTGGAAGATGTAGTTGTGGCGCTCCCGTAGTCTGGCCATCATCAGGTATGCTGCCTCCTGACAGGCGTGATCTGCTGTGCCTCCGGATGCCTCAACCACCATATTAGCTAGGCAGGTACCCACGTAGCCATGGACCTCCAGGCGAACACGGTGAGGAAGCTCGCCACTGAGCGGTGGAATAGTCGTGTACTCTGGCACGTGGCCGGGAGAGGCGGGAATCGCCGGCCAACGTGGGGAAGTGGGGGAGGAGAGAGAGGCGGGATTCAAAAATCGAATCCCGGCCATCTCGGGCGCGGGCGCGGGCGGGAGAGAGAGGGGAGTGGGCGCGAGGGACGCGGCGCACGCGCGGGCGTGGCCGACGTGGCCCGGAGGAGGCGGAGGCATGGGCGCGGCGGCGGTTGCGGGCGCGGTGGCGCGGCGCGAGGTGGGAGACGGGTCCGACAGGTGGGCCCCACCTGTCGGTGACCCCGGGAGAGAGGAGGGGGCGCGGGCTGAGCTGGGGCGTGGCCTCCGCCGGCCCAGCAAGGCGCGAGGAGAGAGGAGGGGAAGTGGGCCGGCGGCCCACTAAGGGAAAAGGAAAAAGAAAAAAAAAAGAAAAAGGAAGAAAGGAATTTCCAGGGATTTAAATATTGCTTGTGCTCAATTTTAATTGGTCAAAATTATTTCTAGGGCTCTGAAAATTCCACTAAAAATCCTGTTAGTGAATTTCGACATGTAGAACTCAAGAAAAATTCCACATGTCAGATTCGATTATTATTTGTATTACTTCCTTAGGGTTTTCTCTTGATTTGCACCGGCATTTTCTTAGGGTCATTTATAAATTAAATTTTAGGCTTGGGAGGAGAACTTCGGGGTGTGACACTCTATCAAGGAATTGCGCAGTTTTTTGGGTTTGGCGGGATATTATCGAAAATTTGTTCGACATTTTGGTATTCTCAGTAAGCCACTCACTAATATGTTGCGCAAGGGTCAGATTTTCATCTGGACGTCAGTGGCTGAAGAATCCTTTCAAGCTCTCAAACAAGCTCTCATTTCTGCCCCTGTTTTGGCGATGCCCAACTTTGCTCTTCCTTTCACAGTTGAGACCGACGCCTCTGATAAAGGAATCGGGGTTGTTCTGCTACAAAATGATCATCCCATAGCTTTTTTGTCTCGTGCTTTGGGTCCTCGCCATCACGGATTATCTACTTACGAAAAGGAAAGTTTAGCTATTATGCTTGCTGTAGAGCATTGGCGCCCATATCTTCAGCATGCAGAGTTTTGCATACGTACTGACCACCGTAGTTTGTCCTTCTTGACTGACCAGCGTTTGTCTACTCCTTGGCAACAGAAGGCAGTCACTAAGCTTCTTGGGTTGCGTTATCGCATTGTGTATAGGAAGGGCACTGAGAATGGGGCGGCTGACGCATTGTCTCGTGTTTCTGATCCTTTCCTGGTTATGTTGTTGGCTTTGTCAATTTGCATTCCGGAATGGATGCAAGAAATTATTAATGGTTATCAACAGGATCCGGATGCTTGCAGTAAGGTTCAGGCTCTTTGCATCAATAATGCTGCAGTTCCTCAGTTTACTTTGAAGAATGGAATTTTATATTTTCAAGATTGCATTTGGATTGGTCAGAATAGCTCTGTTCAGCAGAAGATCTTAGCTAACCTTCATACAGCGGCCATTGGTGGCCACTCTGGTATTCAGGTGACTTACCAACGCATCAAGCAGCTCTTTGCGTGGCCTGGATTGCGTGCAGATGTGGTCCGATTTGTGCAAAGTTGCGATATCTGTCAGCACGCCAAATCAGAACATGTGCGGTATCCAGGGTTTTTGCAACCATTGCCGGTTCCTGATCAGTCTTGGCCAGTGGTTTCTTTGGATTTCATCGAAGGCCTTCCCCGTTCCGCATCATTTAATTGCATCTTAGTTGTGGTTGACAAGTTCTCTAAGTATGCACACTTTGTGGCCTTGGCGCATCCTTTCACAGCTTTTGAAGTGGCTGAATCTTATATGCAAAATATACATCGGTTGCATGGATTACCTTAAGCTCTCATCTCTGATCGGGATCGCATTTTCACTAGCACATTGTGGACAACTCTCTTTCGATTGGCTGGTACTCAATTAAGGATGAGCTCTTCTTATCACCCCTAGACAGATGGACAAACCGAACAAGTTAATCAGTGTTTGGAAACGTTTTTGCGTTGCTTTGTGCATGCTTGTCCTTCCAAATGGAGCCGCTGGCTGACCCTCGCTGAGTACTGGTATAATACCTCCTTTCACTCTTCGTTGGGTACCACACCTTTTGAGGTTCTCTATGGCCACAAACCGCGCTACTTTGGTTTAACAGCAGCTGCAGCTTGTCCATCTTCGGACCTTGCTAATTGGCTAACAGAACGTGACCACATGCTATCCTTGATTCGGGAGCATTTGCAGCGGGCTCAACTACGAATGAAGTCTCAGGCTGATGCTAAGCGCTCTGAAAGAGAGTTTGCTGTGGGCGATTGGGTGTATATGAAGCTGCAGCCCTTTGTCCAGCAATCAGTTGTCACTCGCACTAATCGCAAGCTTTCTTTCCGGTTCTATGGTCCATTTCAGGTGCTTGCGCGCGTCGGCCAGGTGGCTTATCGTCTGGCGCTTCCTGCATCTAGTTTGATTCATTCTGTGGTGCATGTTTCTCAACTCAAGAAGGCATTGGCTCCTACTGAAACAGTTCAATCTCAATTGCCGGTTTTCCTTGCTGATCAAGATGCTTCTCCAACTCCTCTTCGCATTTTGGATCGGCGTTTTGTTCGTAAGGGAGCCAAACTGGTGGAATTTGTTCAGGTTACTTGGTCTGGACCAGATGCTGAGGTGATCACCTGGGAGAATGCTCAAGAATTGCGGCATCGCTTTCCATCGGCTGAAGCTTGGGGACAAGCTTCGTCTCAATGGGGGGAGAATGTCACGGCATCGTCATCGTCATCTCCTGTTCCTCATCAGACAAGCGATGCAGCTTCTCCGTCGGACCAAGATGGGCTCAGAAAGTCGCATTGTGAACGACGGCCCAATGCGGCCTATAACAGGAGTGAGTGGACCCAGTAGTGACTGGCTGGGCCACATGTAAGGGAGAGAGATCCAATGGCTCATTGCTATATAAGGATCGGCAGAGAAGAGATGTGATTTGAACAATGTAAAAACAGAATTCCCCATCTAAATCAATCCTTCTCTGTTCTATCTCTGCTTCTCTGAGTTCTTCCTTCTTCCTTCCAATTTCTTCCAAAATCCTCACGAATCCTCCATTGTTGCGGTACAAAGCTAGGGTGCCGTGACACACACGTGCACAGGATAAGTAATAACAGGATGCAGAATACACTTTCTCTACTGCGTAGGTACAGTAGGCAGTATAATGGCCACACATATACTAGTTCGAGCAAGGAGATGCTTACATACCTCATTGTCACGGGCTCACATTGATTGGTGCTCACCACGCTACTATGGGTTAGGTCATGTACAATGTGTCCTCGGGATTATGGGTCTCATCTTCCACCTAGATTCGGATGCCACGTTAGATTCTCGAAGGTTGCCTCACGGGCGTTAAAGTAGCTCCTGTAATACCTGGTTGCTATATTTTGGAAAATGGGAGTAGTTATTACGCAAAACCCTTTACTTGAAAAATGTACTATAAAAACAATGATTCCACATAAATACATTAGTAAACTAATGAAACGGTTGGTACAATCTTTTCTTTTTTGTTATTTTGTTATTATCTATTACCATTTTCATGTGGTCCGGTCAGTAAAACATAAAAAAATGAGCATGCGTCTGTCGGTCGGTTGGGAATTTCTGCAAACGTTTTCATCCCAAGCTATTTTTTTACCCTACATAATCAGTTGATCACTACAGATGAAGATTTTTTTTCCTTTTAATCTTAGAATGAAGAAATTGAAGATGAATTTGGCCCTATGACCAAAACCTTACCGGCCTCCAACGCACGCATTTTGTACAACCTCCGCAGCCCAACCTAAAACCGCGCTAACCGAACCCAAACCAACCGCCCAAATACACGCGCGCGCCCGCGCAAACGCTCTCGCACTCACCCACCCCACTCACCTCTCTCTCGGTCTCGCCTCGCCGCCATGGCGGCTCGCGCGCGCCGCGCCGTCGCCGTCGCCGTCGCCGTCCTCCACCTGCTGCTTCTCACGGCCTCCCAGCTCGCCGCTCCTGCCTTGTCGGCCATGGCGCCGCCGGCCGCGCCACTGCCAGGCAGCGCCGACCCGCGGTGCCACGCGAGCCCGCCGCGGCGCGGCGCTGTGGCGGTGTACCCGAGCGACATGGCGCACATCCAGTTCCTCCTCAACGCCAAGTTCGTGGAGGCGGAGTGGTTCCTCCACGGCGCGCTCGGCCGGGGCATCGACTTCATCGACGGCGCCCTCTCCGGCGGCGGGCCGCCCCCCACCGGCGCGCGCAAGGCCACCCTCGACTTCCGCGCCACCGAGGTCGCCGCCGAGCTCGGGTACCAGGAGGTGGGTCACATCAGGGCGATCACCCAGTCCATGGGCGGGTTCCCCCGCCCCGCGATCGACCTCAGCGACGCCGTGTTCGCCGCGGTGATGGACGACGCCATGGCCACCCGCCTCGACCCCCCCTTCGACCCCTACGCCAGCAGCGTCAACTTCCTCCTCGCCTCCTACATCCTCCCCCACATCACCGCCTCCGCCGCCGTCGGCATCAGCTCCTCCCTCATGGGCTTCTCCTCCAAGCGGGCAAGCCAGCCAAGAAACCTCACCGAATTCGCTTCTTGTCCGGCCATGGCGGCGGCGAGACGACTGAATCCGTTGCCGATGTGCAGCTGCAGGCGAGCATGCTGGCGGTGGAGGCGGGGCAGGACGCGGTGATAAGGATGATGCTGTACGAGCGCGCCGACGAGGTGGTGGCGCCGTACAAGGGGAGGACGGTGGCGGAGTTCACGCGGCGGATCTCCGAGTGGAGGAACGCGGCTTCGAGGTGCGGCGCCAAGGACGAGGGGGTGAAGGTGCTCGACCGGAGGCAGGGCGCGGAGCGGCGCACCGTCAGCAACATCCTCGGCGCCGGCGACGACTCGCTCGGGTTCGCGCGCACGCCGGCGGAGGTGCTCCGCATCCTCTACGGCTCGGGCAACGAGCAGGTCCCCGGCGGCTTCCTCCCCCGCGGCGGCAATGGCACCATTGCCAAAGGATTCTTCCAGCTCGCCTAAATGATCGACCATTGTTGCTGCGAAAAAAATGATGGTTACAAACTTACAATTCATCACAAAATAAAATCTTAGTTCAAACATATTTCATCCCAACTACTCCCTCCGTTTCAAGTGAATATGCTTTCCGAAGAAGACTAAATATGCTTTTTTTTAAGTACAGTACAAACATGTACGCTCACATACACACGTACATACACACCCTATAGACGGACATTGTACCTTTATAAATAACTTTGAAGATTGAATCGACATATCATACGATAATTCAACGGGAATACTCTGCTGAACACTAATTTCACGGCCTTGCAGTACTCCCGCCATACATGAAAAGGGGGCATGCAAATATAACAAGCTAATATTTAACCAAGTTTATAAAAATATTCATACTAATAATTTTAATACCAAACAAACATATCATCAAAATATATTTAATATTATAAACATTGTTATATTTCTCAATAAACTTAGTCAGATTTATGAAATTTTTAACATAAAAAAATCAGAATGAGTTATTAAATTATACTAATATGAAACGTTTGGGGGTAATAAATAACTGTTTTATGAAAAAATGGTGCAGAAAATATGATTCATGCAGAAATTCACGAGTATAGCGACAGAGAAAACCATTCTTCACTTGACTCGTCTTCATCCATCCGACGCCGCACGGGGGGCAGGTGTCCTCGTCACCTCTGCTCCAGAAGCTCCCCGCTCACCTGGCCATGGCTGACGATTTGATTAACCCAACCCGCTCCGACACGTGCCACCCCTTCCCGCCACCTCGTCTCCACACGTGTCCCCGCGCGAGCTCATCTCGCGCGCATTTTTAACCCCCTCTTCTTCCTCAATTCCCCCATCGGATCATCGATCGCAAGAACCATCGCCACGCGCGCGCGAGAGAAATCTGTGTCTGCTCGATCGGATCAGAGCACAGCAGTAGCCATGGCCTCCGCCGCCGCCGCCGCCGCCGCCGCGCAGGAAGGGATCACTCACCGCGCCGTGAGAGGGGATGGCGGCGATGCTGCGGCGACGGCGGGTGGTGGCGAGGCGGCGAGCCGGGATCCGAGGAAGGCGGGGCGCGCCAAGCGCGGGCTGCGGTCGCTCGCCGCCGCCGTGTCCGTGTCGGTTGCGCTGATGGCCGCCTCGTTCTACGGCTCCGGGTCGGCGTCGGCGTCGGCGTCGGCGGCGAGGGTGACGGTCGCGCGGGCGGGGTCGGTGGCGGCGGAGGCGGTGATGGCGCTGGCGGCGTGGATGGTGTGGGCGGAGGGCGGGCTCCACCGCCGCCCCGGCGCGACGCTGGCGCCGTTCGTGGCGCAGCTGGTCGCCGCGCTGGCGTGGGCGCCGCTCGCGCTGGGGCTCGCCGCGCCCGCGGCCGGGCTGGCGTGCTGCGCGGCGATGGCCGCCGGCGCCGCGGCGTGCGCGCGCGGGTTCGGCGGCGTCAACCCCGTCGCCGGCGACCTCGCCAAGCCGTGCGTCGCCTGGGCCGTCCTCCTCGCAGTCATCAACTACAAGATGATGAACTGATCGATCAAAAGCTTGTGTCTTTTACGACGACATGTGTGTGCAGTGTTTGCTATGTTTGATCTCCTCCTGTGAATGTAATGGAACACTGCCTGCAGTGGCAGCCACAGCTTCCTGAATGTTTTGCTACATTATATAAATACAACTTCAGCTGCTTGTATGTAATGTACACTTGCTACTGGTTTTCCCTTCCCCTTTCTTCTTCAAGATTCTTCTGGTTTTTCTTTCCCTTCCTTCCTCAAGATTTTCCCCCTTTCTTCCTCAAGATTTAAGAGTGTGCTTTGCTTCTATGGCAATGCCAACATTTATTTCCTCAAGATTTAGGATGTGCTTTGCTTCTATTGCAATGCCAACATCATAAAAATGTTGGCATTATGAGATTTGGTATTTTACCAAAATCTTGAAAAGATCTGAAGATTTAGGGTGCATCCGATTCTTTGCAAATGGCAACGTTATTAAAATGTTGGCACTGCAAGATTTGTTATTACCAAAATCTTGATGAATGATGAAGGGTGTTCATTTCGCAAGGTTAACTACTCTGCTTTGCTACCAAAGAGGCACGGAAATTTTGGCAAAAACTATCTGTTGTATATTTGTACCAAATATTTGGTGATGCCAATTTTCTTGGCAATAAACCAAATGGATACTAGTTCTCTTGACATTGCCAATTCACAAACCAAACAGTTCCTTGATCAGAAACATCTTCAGATCGAATATGTTGAAAATTCCCAAACTTCAACATTTTCTTTTTTTTAACGAAACATTATGGGTCGAACTGGAATAGTACCAAATACACATATGGTTGTTCACATAACACAAGGATTACACGACCAATTTGCAGCAATTAACAAGACCCAACAAGGCGATCACACATTACTAATAGTACAAGATAATAATAATTCCATAATTCATCCAAAGCTAAGTTCTAAGTAGTATTTTGGCCACCCACACGGTGAAGAATACGTGTGGGGTGGGCTTACTGCGACGGGATGGGCTGCATCTCCGGCGCCGGCGAGGTGGCGGCGTCGGCGAGCGGGTAGCCGAACACCCTGGAGAGGCGCTCGGTGGGGACGAGCGGGAGGTAGGTGGCGACGGCGCTGCCGCGCTTGGCGCCGTCGGCCACTGCCGTGTTGTACCTCGCCGAGAGGCTCGCGGCGGCGGGGAGCACGGCGCGGGTCACCGACGGCACGAGCGGGAGGCGGTTCAGCGCCGCCCACGCCTCCGCCGCCTTGCGCTCCGCCACGGGCTCGTACCGGGTGTAGAGGTCCCGCGCCCTGGGCTCGGCGCGGGCGATCGCCGACTTGGCCAGCCCCGTCGCCGTGCCGACGAGCCCCGCCTGCCGCACCTCCGCCGCCGCCGAGCGGGCCAGGCCCGGCGCCTCCTTCACCACCGGCGGCACGCGGCGGTCCAGCTCCTGGACGGACTCACCAACCTGTCGAACAGAAACAGTTCATGAAAAAACCATCAGTTCCTGCAACAACATAAAAAAAAAAGGTTCCAAATGTAGTTCATTCAAACAGCTAGGAAAATTAGTTTAAACCCAACTGATTTTCATCTTATCTTAAGACTTAAAGAGCAAGAATGCATCATTTGATCCATCATAGAGAACTAAAAAGATGATTTAATTTTTAAAATGGTACTAATCAAGATGAATTGAACATGATCGATCAGTAAGATGAACAGGCTGAGATCAATTTCATAAAATTAGTTTGATTTCAACTGATTAAGTTGTACTTGTGCTATCTTAAAACCATCAAAACTAACTCGTTCACTCAAACAGCTATAAAATTATTTCATCCCAACTGATTTTAATCCCATTTTAAGAGCGAAAACTCATCATCTGATCCTCTTTTTTTCTCTCTTTCTCAAGATAAGCCAAGATGAATTGAACATGACCAACCAATAATACCAAGATGAACATGCTGAGATTAGTCCCATATGCAAATTTGTCTTCAATTTGGAAAATTCGACGGGCGAATTTAATGATGCCCTAAATTAAATTTAACTACCTTGCGGTCGAGGAACTTGAGGAGGTCGAGGGGGACGCCATGGAAGCGGTCGTAGACGGGGCCGACGACGGCCTTGACGGTGCCCTCGACGTGGTCGACGCCGGGGCGGAGCGGGCCGGCGCCCTGCTTGGCGTACGCGTACGCCGCCGCCGCCAGCACCAGCACCTGCGCCGCCGCCTGCTGCACGAACTCCAGATACCTCAGCCTCTCCTCCTCCGCCGCCGCCTCCATCTCCGGCGTCTTCTCCACCGTCACCTCCTCCTCCTGCTCAACCAAACCAAACCACACAAATCAATCAACCACCACCACCAAGAACTCAAAAGAGAGAGAGAGAGAGAGAGAGAGAGAGAGAGAGAGAGAGAAATTGGAGCAGATTCTTACGGGGCGGTTGCTGATCGGGGCGTCGCTGCCTGAATCGGCCATGGATATTGGATGTTGTGTTAGATTGGTGGATCGAAATCGAAGGTGTTCTTGTTGGAATTTGGGGATTCTTTTGCTTGGGTTTTTGGGCGTGGGGAATTCGGGGATTTTATAGGAAGGCGAAGACTTAATTGAGGCGTCAAGTTTTTTCTCGCCGTTTTTTTTTAGTTTTTTTTCTTAAGTGTTAAGGGTTCGATGACGCGTCTCTCTGTTTGGGCGGTTTGGTTCGCGTCGAAGAGACGAGGGGCTTCTAGAAGGAGGGGCGCTTCACGTGTCACTGACATGTGGGCCCTGTGGCTTGTGGGTCCCACGCGTCGGTGGGTAGACGTGACGTGCGGGCCGCTCGGGTTCACGTGTGAACGCCATCCGCGGATTTTTGTGGGGTTTTTTTTATATTTTTATTTTTTAAAAAAATTTGGACGACTCGGGAGCTGTGGGCTTTGCGTTGACCACCTGTATATGACTTGAATTTTGAATCTCTTCTGATAATGAGAGAAAAAAGATCTGAATTGCAGCAAGGAAAAAAATACTACTAGCAGATATGAACAATCATATTTTTCAAATTTAAAGATGAATTATGAAAAAATCTCATTGGTCTTAGACCAAATGTACATCAACGGACCTGGGTTCAAATGCAATTACACTGCTACTACCATTGAGAAAGCAAGAAGCAATGAAGCTGAATGGTACCCTCAATTCATTTCAACATATGTTCAGATGAATTCATATGCTATCATTCCTATCAGAACTCAGAAAGAAGTTCACAATCAGCCGAATGCCAGAAAGAACATGCTAGTATCTTCTTTTCCAGGACATCACATTGCAGAAAGTAGTGCAAATTCAAAACAAGCTGCTGCAAGAAAATGCACTCCAACAACGATGCGTATGCTTCCAATCTCTCAAAGATCTGAAGTGACAGATATTTCACAGAAACACCTGCATCTCAACAAAAATCATCAGCAGAGGCTCAAGACATGCTTATCAGCAGCTTGTAAAGACCACTTCCAGGCTCCAGCAAAAAGCATAATTACTAGGATAAAAGCATTAAATTCAGAGCAACAATGGTACTGTAATAGAAAAACGGATGGTATATAGATCTAACAACATTATTCAGTTGAAGTTCCACATTAAATTTCACAACCCTCTTCAGCCAAAATTATGATAGGAACGATCTTCGGAGTACACTGGTAAAAGCAAAAACAGACAGAAAATTATGGTTCATATAAGATAGGAAAATTGCTAAGACGAAAGGAGGCGCAGCCGACATGAGTAAATTGTTCATCTTGATGCGAAGCTAATAGGCGAAGGAGGGTTCGCTGGGCCTGAAGCTCCTGTAAATGGAGGCTGCAACTGGGATAAGACCCAACAGCGCGATCTGGACCTGCTCCGAGGTGCTTGTCCTGACAGTGATCTGGCCACTTAGTTTGTTATTCAATCCAAGACGAACCACCATCTTCGAGCCCCTTCCAATCGAGAACTGGGACTGCAAATTCGCACCGAGAGCAAGGTCTCGGCGCCACTTCATCAAAGAAAGACCCAGGGTTGACAGGGACTGGCCAATCGGATAATCTTTGTCTTTCAGGCGTGCCTCCAAGTTAGCTCCATAAGCGGTGTCGCCTTGAGCTCGCATTGCACCTGTGCTCGCCACCAGTGCCAACCTCTTCCCAAGAGAGAGCTGGTCCTCAACCTTCAGCCCAGTCGCCACAATGTCGCCCAAGAAAGTCACTGAAAATCCTCCAGTAGTCTTGTTCTTCTTGATATTCTTGAACTTGGTTTCACCACGGAGAATGTACGCAAGCTGCCGCCCAACAGTCTGGATATCAAAACCAGCAAGCGACGATGCATCCTCCCCAAGCTTTGCTGAGATGGAAGAGTCCAAATGGATGCTAAATTCCTTCTTGTCCTTGGTGACCTGAACCGCCATATTAGCTGGAAACTTGTTAAGGAGAGCAAGCGTCTCCTCAACACTTACTCCGTCATAACCACAGTCATGATCCCACCCGTGTGCATCTAACACAGGCCTTGCAAGAACAGTCGAAGTTGGCTCCAGAAAGCGGTACCGGTATGTGGGATTGTCACAGTCAAATGAAGGGGGCAGCACCATATCAGGTAAGGGAACTGATACGTTCTCTGGAGGAGGATCCAGATCATTTTCTCCTGCGATGTTAGCATACCCATAAGCATCCATATCAGTTTTACCTCTCTTCTTCATCTCCTTCAACCTGCGGATCTCATCCTTCCACTGTTTCTTCTGGAGAAGCTTGACCCTGTAGTCGTACTCATCAAAATAAGCATTCTTCTGCTCCTTTGTCAGCCTCGCAAGCTGAGATTTGGTCAATGGCTTGAAGGGAGGAAGCTGGTCATATTCCTCTTCATCTTCATCCTGCTCTATATCAGAGTAATCATCCAAATCGATGTCAGAATCTCCTTCATTGCCACCCTGATCTGGTGAAAGCTTCGGGTGAGCTCTTGACTGCAACAGGGAGGAGAGCAGGAAGGGCAGAGGCGGAGAGCGGAAACGGAACCCAAAAAGCTTTCCAGGATTTGGATCCTGAAGTTTCAGAAGTGAGTTTGCTTCAGACAATATCTTTGAAGAGTAGCACAAAAGCAGCATCTGATGCCTCCAGCTCTGGCCATTTGGAAGTACTTTCTGACCCTCGCGGTTTCTCCTGCAAGAAGGATGGTTCTCAACAAGAGCTACTGGATTCATCAACCGCATATCTCCTGCAGCTTGCCTGATGGATTGCTGGATAATGTGAGACCTCTGAGCCATTAGCACCTCATATGTCATAGGGGCACCATTTAGACCTTCAGGAGGGGCGGAAGCAGCATGAGTGAGAGCAACAATGGCATTGAACCATATAGATGAGCCCAGAACAGAAGTAATGGTCTTTAGAAGAGGCAAATCATTGAGATCACGGCTCAGACTATCCAGGCGGTCCACATACAGAACAATATCTGGGGGGCATCTCTTGGTATATTTCTTGACAGAAGCGAGGATTTTTCTGTTGGATCCTTGGTCCATCACATTGGGTCGAAGGCCTGGAGTATCAATGATCCGTATCTGGACACCATCGACATTACCAACAATCTCCCGTACACTGTTGGTGGCTGAACTGAAAGCATCAGTTTTGGACTTCTCTTCACCAAAAATTGAATTTATAGTTGCACTTTTTCCGACCCCTATCTTCCCCAAAACAAGTATGTTGCATGAGAAGTTCAACTCCTCTTTTCCCTCCGCTTCAAGCAGCATGGCCTTCTTCCGTGCATTGTCAAGGCTGAAAGCTCGGTTTGTCTGCCTTCCGTGTCGAATACCCTCAGCAAGGCTCAGACGGTACAACACCTGTGCTGCAACTGTTTCTTCAGGAGTAGCCCCCAATCTATAGACAAGGCGCAGAAACTTTACTCGGATCAACTCAACCTTGTCATGCAGCTTCTTCTCTTCCTCCGTCATCTCCTCAGTAGGCTCAGCAGTCACTGCTAGCTCAGAGGGGCTGAATAGGTTTGACCGTGCAACTGGGCGTGGGACTGTTGGCCTGAGAGATGGGGCTGATGAGCCCAGGCCAGCTGGCCGATCCATGGAGAAGATTCTAGAGCCATCTTGGGAAGAAACTGTGACATTCCCGTCTGCAGATGCACCAGTTGCTGCTTTCAGCAGGGCAGCCAAGGCAGCAGAATCAAACCCCTTCTCATCGTCATCTTCATTATCGTCATCATCCCCATCCTCCTCAGAATCATCAAGGACAATCTGCCCATCCATGCTATTAGTGTACTCTCTCGAGCTGCTCAAGCCAGATACAGGACTAACACTAGCAGAACCTTCCCCAAGCTCCTTCATGATCTGCTTCGCAGCTTCTGAACTCTCTATAATAGCAACTCGTGCAGGCCCCCTGTCAGAGCTCACTCCATCTTCATCGTCATCAGCCTCGTTAGTACCATCATCTTCATCATCAGCTGCAGCTAAAACTATCTCTTCATCATCATCAGCGTCTTCTTCACGGTCAATAACCTCAGCAACACCTTCATCCTCCTGACCAACATTATTTTCCTTGGTTTCCTCTGGAGCCAATTCTCGAGACACAACAGAACTAGCACCGCCATCAACATTACTCTCATCCTCAGTAGGCTTCTCAACACCAACAATCTCCACAGATTCACTGGCCTCGCTTTCAACAGTTTGCTCCTTCTCAGTACTCTCTTCAACTGCACTTTCGGCACTCACATGCGCAATCATCTCGGAGCTAGTGTCGTCAACAGTTTGCTCCTTCTCAGTACTCTCTTCAACTGCACTTTCGGCACTCACAGGCGCAATCATCTCGGAGCTAGTGTCGTCAACAACCTGGATTCGGTCATACGAATAATTCAACATCCTTGTATGTATCAAAACTATTTAGAAACAAAAAAAACTACACTGAGCAAGATCAATTACCACTGGAATCACCCCGCTTACTGGCTCAGGCTTCGCCTCCATTTCTTCCTCCTCTCCCTTGTTATCCTCTAGCTTCTCCTCCACAGCCAATTCGACGGCGGCAGCCACGCCATTTGCCTCCGAAACCACAGCCTTCTCCAACAATTCTTCTGGAGCATTGCTCTCCTCCACCACCTCCACCGCCGCCGAAGCACTCGCTTCCTCCTCCGCCTTGTCGCCCAAATCTCCATTAGCTTCAGCTTCAGGAGCTACCTTATCCTCCGGCTGCGGCGCCTCCGCGGCCCCAGCAGAAACATCAACCTCTTTCTCCATTCCCAATTCACCATCATCCCCACCCCCAGTAGCCACCTCCTCCCCCTCGTTATCCTCCTCCGGCTTCTCCTCCACATCCGATTCGGCGGCGCCATTCGCCTCCGGAGCCAGAGCCGGAGCCTTCTCCTCCGGCTCCTCGCCCAATTCGCCCTTCTCCTCACCTACCGCGGCATCGGAGGAAGCCGGATAAGCATCCTCCTCACCCAATTCGCCGTTGCTCGCCTCCTCCTCCTCCTCCTCCTCCGCCGCCGCCGCCAACAACGAGGAGGCAGCTTTCGCATCTCCCCCGGCGAACTCCCCGCCGCCTCCCTCATCCTTAGCCTCCGCCACCTCCACCTCGCCGCCATCTTCCCCGTCTCCGGCCACCTCCACCTCCTGGCCACCGAACCCCCCACCTTTCCCCTCCAATCTCACCTCCTCCTCCTCGACTACCTTGGGTTGCTCCGCCGCCGCCGCCGCCGCAGGAGCAGAAGGGACCTCGTCGCCGTCAGGCGGCGGGGTGGGGGGCTTCTCCTCGAGCACGGGGGCGACCGGAGCGGCGTCGGCGTCGGTGGTGGAGGCCATGGCCGGGGCTGTTGCTCCGGCCACCACAAGCAAAGCGAAGGCGAAGCAAAGAAGAGAAGCAGGAGGAGGAGGAATCGGAGGAGAGGATAAGGTGAGGGTTTTAGGTTGGGCTCAAAATTAGTACTTTGTATCAAATCCCAAATTCCCAATCTATATATAGCTGGATGGGATGGGATGCTCTTCGATTTTTCTTTTCACCCTTTGCTTTTCCTACAAAAGAAAATGTTCTTCTTCTGAAGAAAATAAAATAGTTATATCTAATCTCACCAGTATATGCTCTTCGATTTTTTTCTCCTTTGCTAAAAGAATAAAAATATTTTTTTGTGTGTTCTTTATATATATATATATATATATATATATATATATATATATATATAGCTGTCTGCTCTTCGATTTCTTACCCTCGACTTCTCCTCAAAATTGAAACAAAGTTTTTCTTTTGTTGTGAAGAAAAAGATTTGGTTTTCTTCTCCTCAAAATTGAAAAAGGTTTTTTTTTTATTGTGAAGACAAATATTTGGTTTTCTGTTTTGGCGTGCGGTTTTGGAACGGCGGACACGCCGGGGGTGTGGTGGTGAGACGAGAGAGGAAGCAAAGAAAAGGGGAAAAAAAATAGGGAGAGCGTGACGATAAGGTGAAATTTTTTTGATTTTTTTTTGCGTTTACGTTTACCTTTGTTTGTATGTTTGTGTGGTTCTTTGTTTCTTTTTTTTTTTGATTTCGTGCTAGGGTGGGGCTTTGGTTTGGTTTGTCTTGTAGTTGAAGGGAAGGAGTGTCAAAAATATCTTCTCTAGATTTTTTTTTTTGCCTGTTCCAACTTCCAACTGGTTTTCGATTTTGATGGTTTTGGTGTTGCCTAGAAGACTTTGCTTTTACTGATAATTGGAAGTTTGAAACACATTATCTCTTCTATAAATGATCGAAATGTGCACTTCTCTTTTTACTAATCTTGTGGTAGTGTTCATCTCTCTTTTGCTATCACAGATTCACAGTCAAGGGTGGTAGCTAACTTTTAAGCAAAGACCAGTATTCCCTTGAAGTAAAAAGTGTACAAAATTTTGAAATCAATAAAACCAATGAATTTTTATGGGTAAAACCAATGATTTTGAAACTATGTTTTCTTGGGTAAAATTTGATTGTACCTTCATTTATCTTGAAATTAAGAATTTACACTCCTAGCCCACATGTCAAACCCTACATGTCATGGGCAAATGAGAATATATCCTTATTTTTTGTCTAAAGGGAAGGTATATAATCAAATATTAAAAATGTAAGATTGTAATAAGTTGCAATAAGGACCTTATCATGGATATTAATTTATTGAGTCCATAGATCTATAACGAGAATAAGATTGCAATAAGTTGAGAAATGACCTTTATAGGGTTATTAATTTTTATTGAGTCCATAAATCTATAGTTCTATACCAATGAGATATATATAGATTTTGGTTCATATTGTGCAAAACATGTGCAAAATAGAAATATTGGTCAGGGCTAACTCTTAGCAATATAATCCCTTCATACTCGTATAGGAAGTCGTTTTGGACAGTGACACATTCTCCAAAACACAACTTTGACTTCTTGTTTTTATAAAAATATTTATTGAAAAGTGATATATGTATAATTTTATGAAAATAGTTTTCAAAACAAATATATTTATATAATTTTTACATTTTCAAACTCAACAACTTAATAATTATTCATGATTTATATTCTCAAGGTTTGACTTAAACATTGTTCTAAACGACTTATAATACGAGTATAGAGGAAGTATGAATTAGATGATCCAGAAAGAGCTAGCCTTTTTATACATCAATTTGCTATACCTTCTAAACAGATATATACACCAGTTTGAAATTCCTACTAAAATTCGTTTGTTCCAATCAAGCCCTAGCTAGGTTACAGTACATCTCTGTTGTACAGTCCCCTCTGATACACATGTGTCGAGATGCCTTCCCATTGGATCAAGCAAAGCTTGTTCGAGGATTACACAGTTATTAAAATAATAATGATGACTCCAAAGCTGATAAAAACTAATGATGACCCTAAAGCAAGCTGTCCATGTTTCCAGCATTGCAAGAAGGCAAGAAGCATCAGGGCATCCTCAGGCAAACATCAATTAAGCTGAATTAATCGCCCATCTCCAAACATGTGTCAGGAGTAGCATGAAACATATATATATTGATTATGGCTATCAATATATGCATTCCTGAAGGCTAATTTCGTTATTAGCGGACACTTCAACCACTTGCGATAATTGATTATGGCTATCAGTTTAAACCCCTTTGTAGTGGTGTGGGCAGGGTTCAAAATTCCAGTTCTTTTGGACCCCCCCACTTCGCCCCCCCCCCCCCCCCAAATACGAAATTATTTCACCCAAATTTTTAGATTTTCTCAAACATTTGTGTATTTTACAAAAATATTCGAATCTGGCCATTTTGTTTTTGAAAAAATAAAATTATTTTGGATCGAAATAACCGAAATTTCGGCCGTATGGGTGCCCCTGATAGAACTATCGAAATTGAAACTTTGAACCCTGAGTGCGGGTGGTTCGGGCGTATATCGAAACCGTCAACCAACTGAACTCAGTTTCTTTTCAAGAGACCCAAGAATATCATCCTTGCTGCAAAAACAGATTAGTTGAATATTATATCCATGTTCTTACACTGCATATTCTGGAAATGCCCACAAACTTGACATATATGTCGTTGATTATTGGGAATCCCAATTAGAATCCATATCTCATTTGATATATATACATATACTTTTCACCTAAGAATTAATATATAATTAATAAAGAGAGTGGACATCTGAGAATCGGTGGAAATTTAAAAGATACTGTTTTCAGCTTATGGAGCACCCAATGTTCAGAGTTCATAGACCCAAGAATACCATCCAAGCTGAAAAAGAAAGGACAGAATTGCTGTCCATGTTCTTATGCATATTCTGAAATTAACTGTGTTCATAACCATGACTGATATCTCGGTGCTGACTGAGCACACCAATTAGAATCCTTCTTTCCTTTGATATATATACCTTCCATCTAATAATAACACCAAAAGATATAGATTCAAATTCCAAGCCTGAAGATCAGTGGGAAGAAAGAAAAAATAACAGTTCCCAGCCAATGATGCTGTTTTTTTGTCTTGTCCGTTTTGGCATTGAAAGGGCAAAAACACAGCACTAGCAACAGCTGAATAGCTGCCCCATCAGAGAAAAGTTCAGAGGGGATGCATCTGGCAGCCAAGCCTGAAGCCCTGAACAACTGGACTCCAGGCCTCCAGGGCCTAAGCCAATTAACTGTGTCAGCACACATAAAATATGCAGCGAATTAGTAATGGATAAAGCCATCAACTAGCTCTAGTGCTTGGCGTGTTCTTCTGCAGCAGCTGCACTGCAGGGAACAAGGCCAATTATCGGTAACAATGTATACAGGGCAAAACTGGACAAGTTCAGGGCACAGGGGAGAAAGCTGAAGCCAGGAGTGTCATTCGATGTGTGCTGCCATTGTGTTCTCATGATTTCACCGCGTTTGGTTTTACTTTTCCTTATAAAAACTAAAGCTGATTTTGAATTTTAGAAATTGATTTGTACCTTAGGGTTCCTTGCGCCTCTTTGATTAGTTGGCCAACTCACAAGTAAGAAAACTATCCAAAATCATTCTTAAAATCAAAATTGGTTTTACTTCTAGCTTTTAAGAAATAGTTGTGCAGTTTGTCTCGAATAATATTCTTAATACAAGCTTTTAAGTGCCACTACTGATCTTTTACACATATTTTGGATGAAGTAAAAAGAGATGTATTTATTTTCTTAAAAGATGATGAGGGATGAGGCTTTCAAATTTTAAACAGCACAAAAGTTTTTAGATAGCTTTTAAGAAATAGTTGTGCAGATTGTCTAGAATAATATTCTTAATACAGGCCTTTAAGTGCCACTACTGATCTGTTACACATATTTTGGATGAAGCGAAAAAAAAATCATCCAGACTCTTGGTACCAAAAAATTAGTATGTTCTTGTTTCTTCGGTCTTAATTTATGAAATTTTTGTCATGAAAAACTCAAGACCAATCGGTTCTGAGCAAAACAAGACCTAAAACTTTGGGCTTTGGTGGAGTCTATCAAACCGCGACTGTGATCACAATCTTTCTCGGACCCTTTACATAATTGGCTTCTCAGCTCAAGACACTCATCGGTAGCTAAAGCTCATCTCAGCTAGGGATTAAAACGGTCGGAAACGGTCGGAAAAACCCTCTACCATTTCCATTTTCATTTTATTTTCTCGAAAATGGAATCGGAACGGTATACTCGGAAACGGTAACGATATCGGTTATATCGGTATCTCGGAAACGGAACCGTCGGAACGGGAATATACCGATATCGGACGGAAGTCGAAAATTCATGTCGGAAACAGCGAACTGTGGTATCATCCCGCATTTAACTATGTATGAAGATGACCTTATAATTTCACCCTTGCATCATTACGCTGCCACACAACACCGTTATATGATGATTAATAAGTTGACAATAAGATTGATAAATAATATAAATAAAGTTCAATGATACTTCAACATCAATGTGGCTAAAGCATACAATGTGGCTTACATAATAGGATTACAGCATAACTAATATTGTCCGACTTTTTTTAGGATATAGATTTGAAGTCTTCGAGAACACCAAGCTCACAAGCTGGCATGGCTTCAGCTGATCAGCTCCTTGTCAAACATCATTCATTATTTCATCATCAATTGACATAGCTATATCGTCGTCCTACAGTGGCACATTGCATAAGAACTTTTATGTTGACACTGTATAACTACTGTTGTAATTAAGTTTCATGCTAAACTAGACTTTTTGGTATTTCCAGGTCGATCACAGAGAGGAGTCAAGATGGTGGGGCCCGCCAGTGGATCCCACAGTCTTTCTTTTCCTCTCTTTCTTTTATTTTTTCTCTCTCTCTTATCCTTCCCTTCTCTCGGTTCCTTTTCCTGCTCTCTCGATTTCTTCTCTGTTTTCTCTCTCGTTCTCTTCTCTGCCTTTGGCTCCTTCACGCGCGCCCGAGAGGAGAGAGGCGCCGGAGATGGCGGCCTGGCGCAGGGCGGCGGTGGGGGAAGGAGAGAGGAGAAAGGGGCGGCATCGGTGGGGAGGAGGAGGCTGGGGCGGTGCGGCGGCGCTCGGCGCTTGGCTCGGTGGCACGGAAGCCGGCGGTGGAGCATGGGGGAGGGAAGGTGGCCGGCTGCGACGGAGGCCGTCGGGGCGAAGGAGGTTGCGGCCGGCGTCGGCGACCTGGTGGCGGCGCCCAACATGGCGCGGCGGTGCCCCAGCGCCGATGAAGACGACGATGCGGTCAGGCCTAGTTGGCTTCTTTATTCGGAATGGACTGCTCCTTAATGCCTAATGGGCTCCTCCTCCTGCTAGCCAGGCCCAGCCGACTTCCTTCTTCGGAATTTTGTCGGAAATTTGACGGAAATTACCGATAAAAAACGGTTACCGACAAAACGGTCGGAAAAAACCCCATATCATTTCCGCTACCATTTCCGAAAGAGATTACCGTTTCCATTTCCGATACCGACAATTACCGATACCGATTGAAACGGTCGGTGCAAACCGGAAACGGTAGCCGGAATTCTCGGAAATTTCCGTACCGTTTTCACCCCTAATCTCAGCTCATCATCTCACTATACTCTCTTTAAGAAAAGTGATGATATAATTGGTATCCATTTCCATTTTCCCAATATAGAAAAGCTGCACCTCCATTCCTGCATTGGCGACTGAAATTTCAGTCCCGGTGTGTGCTGCCAGTCTGTTCTCGCTATTTCTCCGTGCTTGGTTAGGCTTTTGTCCTGAAAATTAACTACAATGATTTTAAATCTTTGGAATTTGATTTTAGGATATCCCAAGGTTTACAATTTCGGATATGAATTTATGAGATTATGTGAGATCTACTGGTGTGTGCCGGTAGAATGTTCTTCCGCTGATTTTTTTATTTTTTTTTAATTTAGCAAAAGTTCTTCAAATTTTCAAGACTATTCATTCAAAATTTCCAAAAAAATAAAATATTTTTTTTTGCAAATATCAGAATTTTGGCCCTCAGTCTATGCATATTTATGCATTCTGAAATAGCAAACCCAGATTAATTCAACACAATTTTAATTTGTTCATCACTTAATTTCATTGCCCCAGTTCACATGTTAAAAATATATCTAATATAATTTTAATTAAAAGATCAACTTTAAAATTAGCTTTTGCTAGCTTTTCAGAAAAAAAAAACTGCATTATGCAGTCTAGTGTCCCTGGAATATTTTTAACGCCGTTAGAAAACGATAAGCAAATAAACGATAAATAACAATAGATCAATCACAAAAGACATGAGATTTAACATGGAAAACCCTCCTAAAGCAGGAGAGAAAAAACCACAAGCGACAGCCAGCAAAATATCTTCACTACATCAGGGTGAGGTTAAAACGCCGAACGACGGTTTACCAGAGGTATATATGAAGGTGAAACCCTAAAGGATAACGATCCGGCATCTACGGGCATCCACTTTGCTCCGGCAGAAGTTGGCCTTTATTATGTGCAAATGAATTTAGATCACAACTCAACAAACGCTGTAGTATATGTTTCACAGATCACTACCCTTTCCCAGCCCTTTATATAATTGGCCAACTCAGTTAGCTCAAGACACACTCAGAGCTAGTTTATTAGCTCAGCTCACTATCCTTAGAGAAAAGCAGTTGATATATATCCAGCATTTCCATTTTATTTTCAGATATAGGAAAGCTAGCTTCATCTTCATTCTTGGTCGCAGATATTAACTATTTTGCAATATATTCGGTATGTTTATTTGATATTAATTCGGAGCACTAAAGTATCATGCATGTTTTCACTTCCATATATATTCTATGCATGTTCAGGCATTCGGTCCAAGAAATTTATTTTTTATTGATTTCAAACGATTTACATCAAATTGATATATATAATCATATTCAAATTGATATAGGTATGCTTGATAAGTAGGGTTTGGTCTATTTGTAGCAAGAGCTAGCATATGGAGTCAACGGCGGAGCAGCAGAAGGTGGTGGTGGACATGTCGTCGCCGGCGAGCGGCGGCGGCGGGCGGCGGCTGTTCCCGTGCCTCTTCTGCGAGAAGAAGTTCGTCAAGTCGCAGGCGCTCGGTGGGCACCAGAACGCGCACAGGAAGGAGCGCGGCGCCGCCGCCGCCGCCGGCTGCCTGAACCCCTACGTCTTCTACGGCGCCGGCGCCGGCGCCGCCCCCGCCCCGGCGACGCTGTCGTTGTTGCTGCAGGTGGACAACTCGTACACCACCACCAGCTACATCGACGAACACGGCCGAGCAGCAGCGCCGCCGCCGCCGAATTCCGACCACTTCTTCTGGACGACGGCCGGCGCCGCCTCACGTGGTGGCGCCGGCGCCGGCGGCGAGGTCGACCTCGAGCTGAGGCTCTTCTGATCGAGACGGCGACGACGACGAACATGACGACCATGGCTGTGTTACTCCTCTACTTGTTCTACATACGAGTATACGACAAGAAATCGACACACTGAATTACTATGCCATCAACGTGTTCAATTGTAGCATGCATGAACACTAGAAATTAGAGAGAAAAATGATCAAATATAGGAGTATTGTTAAGATATATACTCCATCTAATTTGCATATGGATGTACATTGTCACGAAGTGGCATGCAGTGGTGTATTTAGTGCTTATTAATAATTACAAGTGCAGGCCGGCCCTAGGTGGGTCAGGCCGTGCGGCGCCCGAGGCCCCCAAAATCTAGGGGGCCCTATACACATATAGTATATATATACTACGTATTATATAATTTTAATTCATAGGCCATGGGACTATATTAAGTTAGACAGTTGAATAGTCCAATTCAGAAAATGAATTTTTAGTCTCTCGTGAGGCATGTTTCAGCAAAGCCGAAGCGATATTCATCTGACTCTCGTCGCTTCGCCTTGATCACATCACGCCACTCGCGTCGTGCCGCCTTGATCATATCACGCCACTCGTTGCTCCTGCGCTCGCGGCGACTTCTCGGTGTCTCGTAAATAGAAACGGCAAGTGGACACGGCAAATCACGGCTCGCCAGTAGCCACGCTCATGTCAGTAAGGGTCTCCATATAAGTTTTTGTCCTAGGGCCTCAAAATCCCAGGACCGGCCCTGTACAAGTGTAATGCCCATGTGTGTTGCATTGGGTAAATAGCAGGGTGCGTGGCTGATGTTTGATCTTAATGATTTATCATAGCACTCTACCCAGGCATGATCATAAGCATCAACGATATGTGCAGTGATAAAAAGTTTTGTTGTTCTTGGACAGTTAATCTTCTTTATATTTGCGGGATGTGGATGATGATGCTTTCTGACGTGTGGGTCCAATGGTTATAGCTAGTATGGGATGAACAGGTGGCGAAACAACGAATACAAATTTGTGTGATGAACAGGCGGCCTCGGGGGAGCCGATCCGTAGCCAGGCGGCAAGTTCGGATAGTAGAGATGTACAACAGCAGATCGAGATGCTCGGGATATGGAGGACAACAAATATTATGTGCAGTTAAAACATTTTTACAACCAAAAAAAATGGAGGAATTTTCTAAATACCAAATTATATAGGATTTATCTAATATCAATAATGAAATGGCTGATACCATGATTATGCAACCAAGTGATTGGGGGTAAAACTATAAGAAATTCTAACATCATGCTAGCTCCAAAAATATTTAAAACATTTGTTTTCATACAAAGTGTCTCAGTGATTCTGAAACTCTAGTAAATTTATCACTGAAACTCTAGTAAATTTCAGAAAAGCTTTTTCTTAAGAAAGGAGGAAAAATTTTGGTCACCTAGATATTGCAAGAACTGAAACAGGGAGGCATAACATAAGCTGGAAACGATCAAGTAGACAGTAATACTCCTACATAGTGATCGATGAATAGATAGAAAGGTCAGTTCAGTGTTGAAACTCGGTTGAGGCCGGTCCCGGTCCATTCTTCCATGGCCTGAGCGATGAATTCTTCCATGTCGGCGTGGGCGGCCTCGTCGAACGTCTGCAGGTAGCCGCCGGTCTCCTGGACCTCGCGGCGGACCTCCTCCTGGAACGCCTCGAACTCGAGCTCCACCTTGTCGAGGTAGGCGTGCAGCTCCTCGCGCTCCCTGCGATGCTCCGGCGAGTCGTCGTCCATGTCGCCGAAGTTCGGCGATGGCCCCTTCTCCCACGCCAGGATGAAGTTCGGCCGGCAGCTTCACGCGACGAGGTTGCTCCGTCGTCCCGGCGACCGCCTCCTCCTGATCCGTCTTCTTCTCCTTGCCCTCCGCCGCCGCCGCCGGGTTCAGGATCGTCGCGTCGTCGGCGTTGGCATCGGCATCCATGTGCTTGGAGATGTCGACGAGGTGATGAGGATTGTGGAAGGAAGAGGTGATTGGGGGAGGCGTCCAACTAATAGCGGACGCTAATCCAACAACGACACCGAGACCATGGCTGCGAAATCCCGAGTCCGAATTCGACAGGTGCACCCTCCTCTCGTCCATGCCGAGACGGCGCATACACTGTAGCTAGGACCAATTCTAGACTTTATGAGACGTTTTGGCCCATAATGTTGAAGCCCAATTAACAGGTATATACCGTCGCCTCCTCTCACGCCCCAGCCGTCGACGCGCCGCCCTGCGCCTGCAGCCGTCGTCTTGCCTCCGGCCGTCCGCCGCTGCGTCCGATGGATCCGCAACAACCTGAGCCCGTCAGCTATCTCTGTGGAGGTCATTCCTTCTCTCCTTTACCTCTCGCATCGCCGCTTTGGGTTTGGCCGATTTGCCGCACTGATTTTCTTTTTGAAGATGGGATGGGATGGGATGGGCTGTTTTTTTTTTTGTTTTTGTTTTTGTTTTGGGGTGATGGTTTCGCTCTCCATTGGTTGGATTGGATTGGATTATGGCTAGTTGAGTTCAGTTTTAGCTGTCAAATTTTTGATATGATGAAATGTGATTTTTCTCTCTTCAGATTGTGGAGCTGAGAACACACTGAAGCCAGGAGATGTGATCCAGTGCCGTGAATGTGGCTATCGCATCCTCTACAAGAAGCGCACCCGCCGGAGTATGTTTAATCCGTAACCAGTTTCTTGAACAAAAGTAGCCTTTTGTTGTTGTCATCATCTTTTGTTAGTGCGTCATTTCTTGAGCTTCCATTGGTTAGCTTACACAATAGTAGGGGCATGGTGGACCGGGTTAGTGATAGAGTACATTGTATATAGTTCGAACGGTCAGGTTGTCGTTCACAACTCAATGGCCACATACCATGTGCCTGTGTTTATCTGCCCAAGGTGGTATGATCGCAAGGAGCCCTTGAACTCAAAAAATGAAAAATCTTTGAGCCAAAATTAAATGCAAACTTATCTTTACTAAAAACTGTTGTAGTATCTCTCGTACCCTGTTTTTGAGAACTGAATTTTATTCTTGCGGTTATCCTTTAGTACAGTGCAATATTCTATCTGATGTGTATCAATGTAGCTTGCAATTTGCATGTCATACTTTTTAAGGAAAAATATTTCTTTCAGTAACACATTAAATGGGGAAATTCTGTTTACTTTTTTTTTTTCGAATTGTAGCTCTATGGGCTAGTTTGTAGTCCACTTTTTCCCTGAAACTTTCTCTGAAGATTGTTTGTATATAAGAATTTTGTATTCCATGTCAGACCAGTTCAGTGGACTTGAGCTAGTGACGACACTAAAATTATCTGTACAATGATGTTTGATGGGTTATTAAGCTCTGAGTAAAAGGAAACAAGTTGAAGCACACAAGTACGTATAATAATCATCTATGCAATAATTTCTTTTGTACCTTACATTGCTGTGGATCCAGCAAAAAGGTATGAACAGTTGGCTGGTTGGATATTGATTCTAGGGATGGGAGCAAGTTGACCTGTGGGTATTCCTTGACCCGCTAAATTATATAAATTTCAATTTTGTAACTTGAAAAGTGAAATTTAGTTCGTTTGGTTGAAGTACAGTGAGCCTAAAAGTATCTGTGAGTTGGTCTGCACCCCCTAAATTAGATTCCAGTAGCTGGGCTAGCTGTCATCATAAATCTTTTTTTGTTACCAAAAACTGATTGCCAACTGCCATCCGTTGTAAATGTATGAAGCATATATAGCCATTTATTACAGAATACTGTGCGGTTGTGCTCCTTTTCATTTTGAAATGATTGTACTTACCATTTAAAAGCTGGGATGTTTCTCACTAAAAACAAAGCATTTTGTGCTTATAACACTGCTCTGTGCTTTGTTTTATAGCTGGTTGTGGTCCTGTTGCATTTAGAAAGTAATGCTTATAATTAATGAAATATTCATCACACTTACTGCATTTAATTGTTGCCATCAATTTGAAAACTGAAAAATGATTATCAGCTTGGCATATTGTTTGTGTTCTCATACAGTCTGACAAGCAAAGTACACTATGCTCAAATTGAAAATGCTATAGCTAAACCAAGTTCAACGTCATCAGTCACCACCACAGATTGCTTGTCTTGGATAGTATGTGCATTTTTTTGATCAAGTGTGTTGTATTTGCAGTTGTTCAATATGAAGCGCGCTGAAGATATGGGAACGTCATGTGACATCAGTCTTTCTAAAGCAATGTAATGGGTGACCCCTAAAAAGGATGTTAGTAGAACTCTATGGTATTCAGTTGTAGGCCTGTATGGCCATTGGACTTTCGATAGAAGTCGCTAAATCCGAATTGTGTTTGAGATTTGAGAAATTTAAGATGATGCAGCGCTTATATTGCCTGAGATCTTCAAATCAAATGCATAGTTTTATTGCAGTTGCCAACGAGCAGCAACATGCTGCCTCAATTGTTTGTTGATCTGGTATTTGTTCAATTATTCTTTGTGTGTCAAGTGCCCAGCGATCAAATGGAGGTGCAGTTTTACGATAATTTCAAATTTTGTAACCATCTGAAATGTGTCGCAAAATGTTGCAAGAAGTTGATAGTCGTATTAAATTTGTAGTTCTTTTAAATTTAGTTTGTTCTTTTACAAATGTTGCATCCTCTCGTAAAATGGATGTCGTACAGTTCTTATTTTGTTGTCATATCTCTCCAATGATCAGGTGTGATGACAGAATTTTGGTTAAGCTGACAGATTTCAACAGGTGCAGGCGCGTGGGGACTTGATACCGCTGTGTCTCCAACATCCTCCTCTACACCGCCCAGAGTTCATTAGGTATTTTCTTCCCCTGTTAATTTTGTTTCCTATCTGTGGATCTGTGATGCATACATTCAAGTTGAGAAGCTGCAGTTATGCCCTGACATCTATGGCCAGGCTATGACAAAGAGATACTTTGTGACGATACATTTAATTGGCTAGCGGTCTGGATCCCATGTAACAGTATGTCATTAGCTCTTGTTGCTATTATTCAAGTAAATATGGCTAACTGATTTCTAATATGAATAGTCTCAGAGGTTCTGATTTGATTTCATTTGGTTGGTTCGGTGTACAGCTGCCGTCTGTGGCAGTCGGTTCAGTGTAGTCTCTCACATTATTTTTTTACTCTGTTAAACAACCTCAAATGAAAACTTCAGTTAAAAATGACAGATTCCATAGCTAAAATTGTTTATTTAGCTAGAACTAGCCAGCAGTATACTTATACGTTATTTCCTGAGATTGCACGCTTATTTGTAGTCAAACTATTGGAGCTCGAAAGCTAACTGAAATTCTAACATGAATACTCGCAGAGGTTCTGAACTTCTGATTTGATTTCATTTGGTTGGCTCAGTGTACAGCTGCCGGCTGCGGTGGTCGGTTCAATGTAGTCTCTCACATTCTTTTTTTTACTTTGTTAAACAACCTCCAATGGAAACTATCGTGAAAAATGACAAATTCCTAGCTAAATTATTTTATTTAGCTAGAACTAGCCAGCACTATACTGATTGTACAAGTCCTGAGATAAGCGCTTATTTGTGGTTAACCTATTGCAGCTGCAATTTTGGGTACAAGGACTAGAGTCTTTCTTTAGTAAAAATGCAGTGCCATGCACTTTATAATCTCAGCCTTGGGAAACAAATAGTTTGGTTTCTAACTGAATATTTTTTGTTTTAACAGCTTACATTTTCTTGTAGCATCTTCTCCAGGTCACTGCTGCTCAACATCATCTGCATTTAAGGTAATGCCAGTTGTCCTCTTCTGCACTCTGCCTTAATTCTGCTAGTTGTCCTCTTCTGCTGTGCTTGCTACCCGCTCTGCATGATCATTATGTTGCCAGGTGCTATCACAAGCACTTTTGTTTCAATCTTCTTTGTTGTTCACATCGCTTAATTGGCACTGGATTTTAGATCTTTTTTAGTGTGAAATGCATAATATATTCACGTCTGGCATGGATATTCCCCTTTGAGATGAAACAAGATATTTGGTGTGCATAGATCGAGACTGCTGCACGGCTGCTGTTTTTCTGCTTGTTGGCCAAGTTCATTTTACTGAATCCATTCCAAGCATAATTTCTAGCAGCTATAATCAAGACCATCTTGCTTGGGTATTTTGATATGTTATACATAATTGCTGCATAATTTTTTTTATGAATACCTATAGAAAATAAATTGTGTTATTCAGATTCAGCATACAGTATATATTTCAGAATATGTATATGATAAGTTTAAAGTTCAGAATGTAAATAGGCACAGCATTTAGATGAACAAACATGAGGTCTAGATTTTAGAAATAGCTTAACAAATTGTTCTTTCCAGGTGTCTCAGTTTCTGCCTTTGTTTGCCCTAGCACTGCACACTCCATTCATACCACAAAACGATCAATTCAGCCTTAGACTTGTACATAGGTGTGTATTGAGCTAATCACACTGGGGTTAGTAGCAATCAATTAAGAAGGTAGAACGAAGCAGAGACATGATGTAAAGAAAGGAAATATGCAAGAGTGGAACAAACCGTCAAACCCTGCGCACTGAGTTTTACATCCTCCAGATAGAATCATAAATTGCTATGAAACTATTGATGATATTCCAATCTGAAGTGCAACCTACTTTATCAATGTTTAGAAGCACAATCGTTGTTTCGTTAGTGAGGAAAATGCATAAATATGGCACTGTGCAGAACCTGCTAGCACAACAGGGAAGGGGAAATTAACCCCCAAATTCATGTGTTAAGTGCAGTGCACAATTCACTTCACCAATCAGTTGCCAGTTCACAGTACCTGACTTGTTCCTCCATCGTGCTTTGGCGTTGTGGATCAAAGGGACGCTATGTGAACATTATTTTGATTGGTGCGACTTAGAAGGACCTGAAAATGTGCAGTGCACATTTACGTTGATTGTTTCAAAATTCCATAATTGTTGATCTTTCATCTGATTTATTTTCAGTAATGGATAAGATTGTTAGGGGCTCTAGTGCTCCACACCATCATCAAGTACAACAACAGGTTAGATTTTAATTAGTTGAGCTATGTGCATGTTATTTAGTCAAATAAGAAAATCTTTGCATGCTATTTTCGCCCATGTGTTCCTTTCTTAGTCCCTCTTGCTGATATAACAAACGTTAGTGGTTCCGGTTTGAAAAATAGATGGGCCAGGGGTGGAGACAAGTCGTTAAGTGTTGTTCGAAGAAATGACGATAACTGTGACGCCTCTAAACAGAACGCTCCAACGGCTGCAAATGGTATATCCTTATCAGATTGTTTGATTTCTAATTTTATTTAATCTAAATGTGTATCCACCAACACCAATGTCCTGACTATATTCTTGTGATGCAGGCCATGACTCAAAGGCTAGGGTGGATATATTGACGGTTTCTTTGTGAGCCTTTTTTTTTTTTGTACTGTTTGAAATATGATATTGGCCTCATGATGAATGAAACTGGGAAATGTGCAGTGCAGTGACACGTGAAGCTCGACAACCTCTAGCTGGATAAGAAGGCATGCGGTTGAATGGCCAAGAGCTTGAGATGGAGCTTAAGAGGCGGTACGGCCCAAGCCCAGTTGGCAGTTTGCGTTCTGCCTTTGCCATTTCAATTTGTAAATGTAGTCAGGCGCTGAGCAACTTGGGGTGTGTTTAGTTCCACGCCAAAATTGGAAGTTTGACTAAAATTGGAAGTTTGAAGAAAAAAGTTAGAAGTTTTTGTGTGTAGGAAAGTTTTGATATGATGGAAAAGTTGGAAATTTGAAGAAAAAGTTGGGAACTAAACAAGGGCGGCTGAGTTTAGTTCCAAAATTTTTCTTCAAACTTCCAACTTTTCCATCACATCAAAACTTTTCTACACACAAACTTTTAACTTTTCTGTCACATCGTTCCAATTTTAGCGTGAACTAAACACACCCTCGCACGGCTGCACAGCTGAGCAGTCTGGACTCTGAAGGTGGCTGGCAGTAGCTGCTGGCTCATCACCCTAGACTGAGCAGGGCATGGGGTGATGAAGACAGGCAACCCATTCGGCAAGAGCATAGGGAAAAAAACATGGAGGAAGATCAGCATATACTGCAGTATGCTCAGTTGCTCACAGGGTATTTCTGGAATTGCCTCGTAAATTTTCAATGCCTTTTGTGGGCACTTGGCATTTTGCAGCACATTTTTTTGAAGCACATTTAACCATTCGAATATTTATCCTCGTGTGACTAAAATTTTCACATGCTTCCATTTGATCCCATGTGCTGCTACCAGACGTTTTAAGTGGCACCACTGTGTTGTCTGGTTTGATCCAAAGTGAGAAATTATTCTTGGTGCTTGAAATGATGCTTAACAGGGTGCAAAACAAATGGATAGATGAAAGGGTACAGTTACAATTTTTTATTGGTTTCTAATGATTAATGTGCAGTATTCATTTTCTCTTGTCATACAAAAATAGTGACTACTCAACTGCTTCTTAGGCATCTGTGTTTATATTGTGAAAAGAAATCCAATACTTCGGTTCATTCTCCAAATGAAAAATCGATGCTTAGTAGTATCTTACAACCATTACACATATGTACACTTGATACTGGTTTAATTGTTCTCCTGAAGAAATAAGTTTTGATTCGATATTCAAGACATTACTAATTACTAATGGACAAATAGTGGCATAAAAAGATCTGACTCATCAGTAAAATGCTTCCCTCCTGTCCAAATAGAGGTTAGCACTTGGATTTGCATATTTCATAGTATTCTGTTTTGATAACTAAGCAATAGATATTTAGATTTGATAACCACATACTATGGACCCCTTTAGTAAAATGTACTCCAGCTGCTTTGCATAGAAAATCAGGACTGTTGATGAATATTCTTCACCGAATATAGTTATAGATATTTAGATTTGATGACCACATACTATGGACCCCTTTAGTAGAATGTCCACCGAATATATTTATAGATATTTAGATTTGATAACCACATACTATGGACCCCTTTAGTAGAATATCCTCTAGCTGCTTTGCCTAGAAAATCAGGACTGTTGATGAATATTCTTTACCGAATATAGTTATATTTTGGTGCATGTTATTTGTTTTCGCAGAGCTACAATATGGTTTTCTGCCTATTGATTTTCACATTACCATTTCACCATACCTCTGTTGAATGTCTTTCGTTCTTAAAAGATACTCTCTCCGTTTCACAATGTAAGTAATTCTAGCATTTTTCACATTCATATTGATGTTAATGAATCTAGACATAAATATCTATCTAGACATAATTAGGATGCATATCAAGCAACTGCTCTTAGGGAAATTCTGGATTATTTATTCATTTGCAGCTATAACTTCACCCCAACCTATCCTACTAGACACTTTCAGAACTACAAGACTTAAAGACAACTTTTGCAGGATTTCGTGCCCAGCTCCGAAGCGGTTGACATAAGGGAATCCCTATTCCCAGCCCAAAAATCTCAACTGCAAATGCATACCACTTGCTAATATATCATGTTCCCTTTATAAGGGAGCGGACTATATTTAGATCAAAACTATCACAAAATTGCAAAGTATTCCACCGTGACATTTTGCCCAGCACTGACCTATTGCACCTGGCCACAAAGCAGGATCAATTTTAAGCTTCCTTAAGACAAAATCATTGAAAGCAACACGGCAAACAAAGGTTTTGTCCTATTGAAGTCACGCAATAATATATCTTTAAACAATATATCTTTAAAAATATTTAAAGGCAACAAAACCATCAATTTTAAGCTTCCTTAAGACAAAATCATTGAAAGCAACACGGCAAACAAAGGGTAGAGAACCAATCTGGTTTTGTCCTATTGAAGTCACGCAACAATATATCTTTAAACAATATATCTTTAAAAATATTTAAAGGCAACAAAACCAGCTCCAGTTCATAACTCAGCACAGCTCCCCTATTTTTTCCCACGTTTCCACAATCCACTAAAAAGATAGTAGAATGCCACGGCAAATCAGCAGCGATGGAGGCCTCCCTTCGAGACAGAAGAGATCCCTCCTCTACGTAATCAGCAGCGATGGAGGCCTCCCTTCAAGACAGAAGAGATCCCTCCTCTACGTTCACAGCAGATCAGTAGGGGATTGAGGCCTTGAGCTAATCCAGGTTACATCGCTACGCGCGGTGAGTTTACGGCGCACCTTCTCGTCAAAATCCTCCTTGGGTGGTGGCTGCTTGATTACTTGGTGGGTTCTCCCCATCCCGTCAGACTTTCTGAAAACTAGGTTTTGTCGTGGAGATTAGGAGGGATGGCGAGGAAAGGGACATGAGAAAGAAGTTTATAGAATATGTGGTAAAAAAAACAGTCTAACTAGTGGGTAAAAAAACAGTCTAACTAGTGGGGTAATTACCAGAATGGGTTTTAGGTGTGGGAAAAAGGAATTTAATGCAGGAATGAGGATAATTTGGTCTAAGTCAATCATATACCAATTAATCGTAATTAAGCTCTTGGGTGCCAAAATGAAAAAAATATTGTATCCCAATATCGAAAGGCTTAAACCCAACACCTATTTTAAGTCCCTAAAGATGTAAACAGCTCTAGATACAACTATTGATTTCTCCTATTTATTGTTAGTATTATGTTAAGACTGTCATCTCTTGCCATGTTGTGCATGTAATTGACAAGAGGGAATTTCTATTCCCAATCCAAAAATTAATTGGTTCAAATATATTCGCTTGTGGATTTAAATATTTCAAAGATCAATCATTTAGTATATTAGAAGTTTTTTAACATATCATGTGTAACAAAAAATACAATCATTTTTTAGTTGAGGAGGTATTAATGATCATATCCCGTGATATAAGAAAGCAATGTATACAATCATTTTTTAGTTGAGGAGGTATTAATGATCCTATTCCGTGATATAAGAAAACAATTTTGTCTTATTTCTTTTTTGGATTTTTTTTTGCATAATAATTTATGGTTTACTAATATTCTAGAGTTGAGTAGTACCGAATAGGCATAGGATATTTAAAGAAGGAAAAATGAATGTGAATTTGTTGTTTTAGATTTGTCTTTTCTTAATAATTTTGGGTTTACTTTATATTTTTAGAGTTATAGGAGTAGTACCGAGTAGGCGTGGTATATTTATAGAAGACAAAGGAGTAGAAGTTCGTGTGGTTGGAAAGGAAAGATAGTTTTGGGAGCCTATAGAATCCTAATATTTTTTTTCTAGATTTTTCCTCACATATGATTGTTAGGTGTTTTTTCTCTAGTATAAATTTATAATTTTTCTTCAAAGTAAGAGGCGCCAAGGAGCCAGATTTAGATTATTAGATAATCTTTGACTGAACATTTGCATAAAAGCCCTCCATGTTATCCAATTTATTGTCCAAAATCTTGAAAAATCTAAAAGTTCATTGTTCACGCCCACCACCTGTTCGACAGAATGTGTAGCCCAGCCCAGTAAACCTAAACTCACGGCCCAAGCCCAAATCCTTCCACCCTAGCCTAGTATGGAGTGCAACCCAAACCCAATCCAACTCACGCAACGCCACTTACGCGCTTAAGTTCCATAAGAAGTTTTTTTGGAGGACGCAAGAATCAATTATATGATTCATGACCATCAAAATCCCTTGATATTCAATGTCGATATTTTTTTAACACAGCTAGATTACCAAGTTCTACCACTGTTAGCTAGATATTCCGTGTAACACGGGAGGTTAATTTCATCTAGTTTCTAAGAAATGTCGCACCATTGGATGAGTCATATTTTTTCTCTCTCAAATGGTGCACTGTTTGGACTTGGTAAAGAAAGGTTGGAGTGGCTCTGCCAACTGCCAACTCTGTGGGGAAAGGGAAACCACTAACCACATCCTTTTTCATTGCCCTATGGCTGTTTTTGTTTGGGGATGTTGCAGAGATGTGTTAGGTTGGGATCAGATACCTAGGAACTTTGAGGACTTTTTGTCTTGCTAATCTTAGAGTTGCTTTTAAATACATGAATGTCAAGATTGCTCTACTTGCTGCTGTTTGCTGGACTCTTTGGACTACCAGGAATAACATGGTGTTTAGAGATAAGCTGGTCTACTCACCGCTAATGCTTCCCTTTCAAATCATTTCTTATCTTTTACAGTGGAAGCCGCTGTTCAAGGAAGTGGAGACTGGTGAACTGGAACTAGTCACAAGGAAACTGAAGGAACGTAATGCTTGTCTCCAGCAAAGTAGAACTGGTGTGGGATAGCTCTGCCGTATGTCAAATAGGATTAGTGGCTGTTTTAGGGGTTCTCAGGGGTGTAGTTGGTTGTTGGTATGTTAGTCCACATCTTCTAATGTTGTTTGGGTGTTTTGTCGGTCGGTATTTTGTCTCCAGCAGGTGTTGGCTGGTGGACCTCTTTTGGCTGAAGTGCTGACTTGTAAGCTGGAATCCCCAGCAAACTATATTTGCTTTCAATAGAAGCAGGGTCCTAGTGACCTTTTCTCTAAAAATGGTGCACTGTTTGATAATACCTGCATTGTTTGATTGCATGATACTCGATATGCTCACGCGAATACTGAATTATCTAAAACTAAATCTGAATACTTACAAGCCTTTGCTTAACTATTTGGTTGGGTATATCTTACGGAGTACCAACCTAAACTAATTTTAAACTAATTTTGCTTTGTTGATTTCATTTAGAAGGTAATATGGACTTTTTTTCAAAAGAAAAGAAAAGGAGGGTGTTCCTTTTGGAGAATAAATTCACTTCTTAAGGTCTCTCAATTTATCACTGAATCTGAAATTTGTCCCTGAACCAAAATAGCAGTTAT